TTAAATTTTCATTTCTTTTTTCAGGGTGGAGGGAGAGTGGCCTGTGGCTTCCCCCCTCCCCCCTCCTCCACAGATACCTCCTATTCTCCCAATTGGAAAAAAATATATAGAGCCTGCCCACCTGCTTGCTTCATGGGCATGGCCTTCTGAGGCTCCCAGTGCCCCAGCTCCAGCTGGGAGCTCACCAGCAGCAACTGTGGATGACCCTGGGCCACGCCAGGAGTCACCATCACCCCCAAAAAGAACAGCATCACCAGTGGGGGCCCCTGAAACATACTGGCTCCACAGGGACCAGTTCTGGCCCTTCCTCCTCCTCCTCTTCTCCTAGGCCAAGGGACCCCCAGGGGCCAACCCGGCACTGTGCAGGACACCTTGAGAAGCAACTTGAAGCATCTTCAATCTGACCTATTCAGTGGATACTGTTGATGCTGAAAATGCAAAATGAATGCCCTGCAGAGTTTCACAAATATAGTTCCAGTCTACCTTCTACCTATATGATTCTCTGCCCAACTTGTTGTCCATCTACAACGTCTGTTCCACGTGTATGAACTGATTCATGCCTGGCCATCCAACTGCATGTCATATTCCGGACAGCAGGCATTTCCCCCCCCCCAAACACTTTATTCTCCTGTATGGAAGCTCCATAATGTGCTGGGGCTTCACAAACAGGAAATCAGAGGACTCACTGTCCACTTTTACTCTGTGTGGGACGTCTTCCATGACACTGACACGTACCTTTGGTGAGCATCTCTTTTCTGTTTTATGCTTGGTTTGATGTTAGTAATTGAAGAGTTATTGATCAGCTTTATCTCTGATTGCATTCATCAAGGAATATTGTATCATCTTAACGTACTTATGAGAGAACACCCATCGGAAAAGTGCCCTTAAATGGTGGTATTCTAATCTGTGAAATCAAAGGCTTCTTTATTGTCCAAAAACCACTAATCAGCAGAATCTCGTTTTCTCTGTAGCTTTCAGGCAATTTGGGTGACTGTAAAGATAAAAGGCATGCTGCAGGAAACCTGTTGTGAATGCTAACAGGTTCGTAGTTTTAAGGTTCCCGTGATATGTAACATAGCAGTAGTGTGTGCTTCTACCTCTTTGGGTTCGTCTTATTTTGTCCTTCCTTGTGACTTGAATTAGATTTTTGTTTGGCATTGAGGGACCCAAGAGGCCAGGTATACGCTGGGGGTGAGGGTGTTAGCCAAGGAGTCTAGACAGAGGGTGAAGTGAGGAAAGAGGGTCACCTGGCTTCTGAGGCCAAAGTCCACCTCACGGTGACACAGTTCATCATGGAGGCTGGTGTCAAGCTAGGGATGTAATCCATTGCAGTTGCCACAACCCGCACCATTTACCACAAGTTTTTCTGTGAGACCAAATTAGGTGCACATGACCCTTACCTCCTGGCCATGTCAGCAATTTACTTGGCAGGTAAAATGGAGGAGCAACACCTCAGGACAAGAGACATCATCAATGTTTCTCACAGGTGTTTAAATCCCAAGAATGAACCTTTGGAGTTAGACTCTTGGTTCTGGGAACCAAGGGTCAGCATTGTTCAGTGGGAATTACTCATGTTGGGAGTTTTGCATTTCTGGGTCTCCTTCTAGCATCTCCACAAATATCTGCTCCACTTCCTTATTATTTCTTTTTTTTTTAGGCAATTGGGGTTAAGTGACTTGCCCAGGGTCACACAGCTAATGTCAAGTGTTTGGTCTGAGGGCACATTTGAACTCAGTGCCTCCTGACTTCAGGGTTGGTGCTCTATCCACTGTGCCACCTAGCTGGCTCATTATTATTTCTTTAAAGAATTGGATGAGCCGTCATAGCTGGGAGAGCATTCCCGTCTCTCTGGCAGCCTAGGCGCTGCTGCGGGACAGCTCTTGCTGAGCATGATGCCTTTAGTATCTCACCCAGCACATAGCTGTAACCTTGCAGTGCTATAGAATGGAGGTGCCTGCTGATTCCAAGGCAGAAAAGCTGAGGTGGCAGGTTTTTAGTGAAGACCTTACCAAGCCAGTCACTGATAATAGTGTGTTTGACCTGATTCAGAAGGACACAGAAATCCTGTAGTTGTTCTAGGGCCATCCAAGGAGAAGCAAACATTTGCTTTGTCTGAGGGCTGGACTTGATGCACTAAAATGGGTGCCAACTTCAAAAAGTTGATAACTTGCAGGGGGCAGCTTTGCATTAGCAAAGGGAGAGCTAAACTCAGCCTGCTTTCTGATTGCTCTTTGGTATTTATGTGGTAGCGCAGTGTATGAAGGACAATGGGCATTCTCCTGAGCAGGTCTGGATATGAATAGGTCCATGTTGAAAAAGGAATGTACTGTGTTCAATTGTGTTTTGCGCCTCAGGAATTTTTTGAAGACGAACCTTTTGAATTTGGTACAGACTGTATTTAGGTATCTCTTCATAAAAACAAAAGCCAAAACAGAGTACTTGATTGGACCCTTTGGGATATCTTTTCAAGCCATTCGTAAACTTAACCCTCCAACATAAGTTAACAATATTTTATTTTGCATAATAAAAGATAAACAATTTTTTGTTAAGATGTGAAAATAGGCATATGGCTTAATATGGTTTCAATATTCAACATTATCTATCTTCCTTTTCCTGAAATATATTATAAAATATGATCATCTTTTCAACACAAATGTTCTTCCAGGAGTCCTGTATGTTCAAAATCTTGGAATACCTTGATCTCTGAAAAATTAGTTTTCCAGTAATCCTGAGGCAAATGAGAACTAGGTAGTGGGCAAAAGTATGATTATTTCCACTGATGAAGTGTGTGTAAGAACTGATGTAAAAGGGAAAACTATGATGGACAGTCACGTAGCAACCATCAGAGAGTAACAGAAAGACAGGATAGGTGATGGACTGGTATCCACAAAATGTAAAAAGCAGAGAAAGGCCTCTAGCACAGTAGGTAGCTGTGTGGAGAATCTCTATGAGAGACCAGGGAAAAGAATCTTAGAGTAAGAGACAGTAGAGATGGGTTACTATCAGCACCACAGAGGGAGTGCCCTCATGGATGAGATCATGGAGTGATCGAAGTGTTGGGAGAGTGGCAAAACACTTTTACAGTTAAGGAACCAGGGCCATATGGCCAACAGTTGGCCAAAAGAAGCAACTCATCTTAAGATTTTCATTTATGTCATTTCCAAAATAAATTTGCTATTTATATATTAAACCTGTTTTTAGTTTCCTATATAACATATTATAACATATAATCTATACTAATTATAATAATTACATTATATAATATATGAAATAATTTTTTTTCAAACACACACTCACACACATACGACCCTGGTTTCAAATATACGCAGTCAAACAAACAAATACCCACATTGGCCATGTACCAAAAATGGGCATCTCATACTTCATCTTGCGTCCATCTCTTCTCTGCTAAAAGACTGGTGGAAGGAATGTTTAGCCTGGAGATGAGAAGACTTAGGGAGGACCAGAGAGCTGTCTTGGAGTCTTTGAAGGGTTCTAATGTGCATGAGAGACTAGACTCCAGGGGCAGAAGTAACAGAAGGTAGAAATTGCCAAGACAGATTTCAGCTCAGTGTAAAGAAAGTCTTCCTAGCAATCAGAACTATCCAACAGTAGGCTGGGAGTAAGGAGAGTAGGAAATGATGGCATTGTCCCTGGAGGCACAGAGGACTGCCTATGGGGGATATTGTAGAAGGGATTTATATATGAAGGGCTTTCTGAGCTTCCTGCAAATCTGAGATTCTATGATTCATTCATGGCCCTTGTTAGACCTCAGCTTCCTAGTGAGGCAGGCTGGGAAGACACTGCTGTACCTTTTTCAATCAATCAACGTTCACTAAGCACCTACTATGTGCCAGGCACTATACTAAGTTCTGAGGATATAAAAAGAAGCAAAAGACAGTCCCTGCCTTCAAGGAGCTTACAATCTAAAGGCCATTTGATAAAAGAGAAACCTGATTCTCCACATGACTTGTCCAGAATCAAATAAGTTAAAGTTGGTGTCAAGAAAAGAACTCTCTGTCCAGCACTCTTTCTCCCAAGCTATTCTGCTGGAATCTAACTCATATCCCTCTCGTTGTTTTTTTAGAATAATTTTATTGCTGTCTTTTGTTTTTACCTTATCCATGTATCTTTCCCTCTCTTCCTCTCTTTCCATAGAGCCATACCTTATAACAAAGGATAAAAAAAAAAGAGGGGGGGGAACAGCAAAAATGATTCATACGTTGAAAAAACCCGACAGTATATGTAATGTTCCACCCCTGTGGTCCACCTTCTCTCAGGAAAGGAGTGGGAGGAGGTGTCTTCTCATATATCTTCTTTGGAGCCAAGCTAATTCTTCATAATTTTGCAACATTCATTCTTTTTTTTAAAGCACATTTTATTGATATCTCTTGATTTTTTTTTTGCATCACCAGAATTTCATATCACCCAAATTACCACTCAATATTTTTCCCCTCTTTGCTCTCAGAGAGCTCTCCCACATAACAAATAATACTTTTTAAAGAAAGAAGAAACACAAAAAATCAGCAAAACCAATCACTATATCAAAAACAGTCTGAAAACATGTGCAACACACCGTACTCATAGACATCCTACCTGTAAAAAGGGGTGGGGTGGGACTGCCTTTTTGTATCTCTTCTTTAGGGCCATGTTTATTCTTTGTAACTTTGCAGCACTTTCTCTGTTTTGTGATTTTTGTGATCATTCTTTCCGTTTCCATTGTTGGAGTCACGTTCATTGTTTTCTTGGCTCTGCTTACTTCACTTTGCATCAGTTCATGTAAATCTTCCCGTCCTTCTGGGCTTTCATCATCTTCCTTGTTTCTAATGCACAGTAAGATGCTGTTGCATTCACGTACCACACTCTGTTCAGCCATTCCCCTATGAGCTGCTACTGTTTGGTCCTCTGGATGTTTTTGGCAGTGGTGGTGGGACTGGGCTGGTGATCTTGGCAGCAGTTTCTGGAGAAACCTTGGTGAAATTATGTCTGTCCCTGACTAGGTGGGCCCCGATGAAGCCTGGGGACTTAGTTCGAGCCTCACGCCTCCCGACACCATGTGCACTCCCGAAGAGACATCTCTACTACAAGTGGAAGAAACTTTCTTGGCCTTGCTTGGCCGCATCAACACCCTTGTCTTTCAACCTCTGCTCCTAGCAGGTGAGTTAGTGTCTCAGGGAACGAGGAAGGGGAAGGGAAGGGAAGGGTCCCATTTTGGCCCTTGCCAGTGAACTTACGGGTCCTGCTTCTGCCTGATCAACTGTGTGTACCATCCCCTACTGGGTCCTTGTCTCCTCCTGGACTCAAACCCAGGTCTACTACAGCCTTTCAGCCTAGCACTCTTTCAGTCAGTTAATCAATGAATATTTATTAAGTGCCTACTACATGCGGGCACTGGGGATACAAAGACAAAATGAAATACTGCCCATCTACATGACCCATTTACTGAGTGATTTAAATTCCATTCAACTCGATATTTATTAATTACCTACTTTGTACAAAATTCTTTAAGGCAACGTGGTACAGCAGAGAGAGCTAGGGTTGGATGTAGTCCGCGGTAGTTGAGAAAGCATCTGTTAACAATGAAATCAAAGGTATTGAATAATAACAACATTAGTATGACTCATGCAGTGATTCAGGGTTTATAAATTGCTTTAGTAAGTATACTATCTCATTTGTTCCTTACAACAATCCTGTTAGATATTATTGTACCTTATTTTACAGGTAAGAAAACTGAGGCACAGAGATATTAAATGATATGCCAGTATCACACAACTAGTAAATGCCAGAGACTGAATCTGAACTCAGATCTTGCCTGACTCCAAACCCAATGCTCCTTTCACTATACTTATTTATACATAAAGCCTTGTGTTTAGAGCTGAAAATATGAAGATCAAAAATAATATGACCTCTGTCCTCAGGAAGCTTTCGTTCTGTGGGAAAAAGAAACATATCTGTAAATACAAGCTTATATTCAATGCTTACTGTGTGCAAAGCACTGGAAATATATTGATAAGTGAAAGATTGTGCTTTTTTCAGCGTGGGAACTCTTGGTATGGACATTCCCTATACCAATACAGATAACAACCCAACTCTGACTTCATAAAGAAAATCTAGGGATTTTCCTGAGATACAAAATGATTATATGGCCTGCTCTGGGTCACACAACTAGTAAATATGAGAGCTAAGATTTGAACCCAGGTCTGCCTGACTCTGGCCTAAGCAGTGAGGATACAAAAATGAAAAATGAACAAGTCTCTGACCCTTCAGGACTTAGAGAGGCTTGGGGCTAAGATCCAGTTGTGCCAGATTGCTAACTAAAGTACAATTAAAAATGAAAAGCTTAATTTAGTGAAGTGGAAGGTAGCTTTGGTGAAGGTCTATAATGCCCTCTTTCAGGTTAGCATCCCGTGTCCTCACCTCTTCCCCCACACCCCCAAACCCCCACTACCCAGTGGATCTCTCCAGACTCAAGACCCTCTGTAGGCTTGTATTTACTTCACATTATAGTTCATGAGCCCCCATTGCTGTTTTACTTTTATCAATCAGTCAGAGAATATATATGAATAAAAACAAAGGCATTTAATAAAGTAGCACAGTAACAATGTTCATAACAGAACATTAAAAAAAAAAGGGCTACACTATTCCACAAATATGCAAACCACCAGCGCAAAGAATAAACCCATGTAGGAAACAGCTGTGACCAGGGAAATGCATAGGAAGGAAGAGGGAATAAGCGTTTATAGAGCACCGTCTATGTGTCAGTCACTGTGCTAAGCACTTTAAAAATATCTCATTTGATTCTCACAATGACCCTTCGAGGTAGGTGCTGCCATTATCTCCATTTTACAGTTGAGGAAACTGAGGCAAACAAAGGTTAAGTGACTTACCCGGGATCAAACAGCTAGTCAGTGTCTGAGGCTGAATTTGAATTCAAGTCTTTGTGACTCCAGGCCTAAACACTCTACCTACTGCACCACCTAGCTGCCTCATGAAAGGCACATTCATAGGGAACCCCACGTGTAGAGGGCGAATACATCTCTGATGCTTTGGAACCAATACATGGGTGTGCGGTGTCTTCCAGGCAGGGGGGCATGGGGCAGAGTAGCTCTATTAGGTTATTTCTTTCTGCTGGTCTCACATGGCAAGGCAGAGGCCTCACACAACCAGTCATGAGGCTAGGGAAAATCCCTTAGCCATTTGACTTTTTCTTCCCCAAAAAGAGGCCCTGTCCATTCTCAGATCTTGGCCTATAATAGGCATTCCTTCTCCAAAAGGAGATTCATTGTCTGGTGAGCCAGGCTTCCAGAACATAGAATCCAACCAGCTCAGTGGTCCTCGAGGCATTAAGAAGATTTCTTTTAAGCAGTGGTTCCTCATCACCAAGGATGGGGTCTCTGACAGAAGCCTAGTCTTACTTAGGGAGAGAGATTCCTCATAGCCCCCACTTCATTTCCAACGGCTTGACGTCTCAGTGAGTATCAGTTTCCAGGTTGTGTCTCCAGCAAACTGCTAAGTGCTCTGCGGTGTGTGGGGGGTGGTACCTCCTCCCCTCCAAGTTCTTCTCCACCTTCAGGTTCTCTGTGTGTGTGTGTGTGTGTGTGTGTGTGTGAGACAGTTGGGGTTAAGTGACTTGCCCAGAGTCACACAGCTAATGAGCGTTATGTGTCTGAGGTTGGATTTGAACTCAGGTCCTCCCGACTCCAGGGGCGGTGTTCTATCCATTTTGCCACCTACCTGACCCCTTGCTTAAGATTCTTTTACGTCTCTCATAGAGATGAATGGGAGGGGAAATAGCTGAGGGACAAAAGTTAAGCCAGAGGGACAAGGTCACTGTCTTCCTCCTGCTTGGCAGATTCATGTTCACCCCATATTTGTTTGTGTCTTGTCTCTGTGTAAGCTCCTGGAAGATGAGGACTGTGTCTGACCCCAAGTCAGGAGATCTGAGTTCAAATTCTCGTTCCAACACTTAGCTAGCAATGTGATTTTGGCAAGTTACCAGGGTCATAGATTTAGAGCTGGAAGCACTCAGAACCTTAGTTTTTCAGCTATAAAATGGTCCTTGCAATAACTACCTTAGAGGGTATCTTTTTTCTTTTGGGTAAGTTGTTTAATTTTTTCAGGCCTCAATTTCCCCTTCTATGAAAAAGGTCTAGCTCTTGTGGCAAAGACTCTTTATGATTTAATTCAATTTAATAAGCATTTTGGGGCAGCTAGGTGGCATAGTGGAGAGAGCACTGGCCCTGAAGTCAGAAGCACCTGACTTCAAATTTGACCTCAGACTCTTGACACTTACTAGCTTTGTGACCTTAGGCAAGTCACTTAACCCCAATTGCCTCACCAAAAACAAACAAATAAACAAAAGCAATTTAATAAGCATTTCATTAAGCACCTACTATGTGTCAGACACTATGCTAGGTGCTAGGGATATGAAAACAGTCCCTGCCTTTAAGGCAACTGCATCCTCCTGAGATTTAAACATGTGCACAGATAAATAAAAGCCTTTTTTAAGCCTTCAAGTTCCAAATAAATACAGGTAATTGTTAAAACTTTGTATCTTTCCCAGCATTGACAACAGAACCCTGCACACAGTAGGTAGTTAATAATTGTTTGTTGAATTATTGAATCAAGGAGGTGTGATGAGGCAGACACAACAATGAGCTGGTTGTCAGGAGATTCAAGGTCTACCCTAGTTTACTCAGCATGACCTTGGGCTTGTGTGAGCCTCAGTTTCCACTTCTCTGAAAGGACAAGGTTGGACTAGATCAGGGATAGGGAACCTATGGCCTCTGGATTCAGTCAAAGGGCCGCACTTGAGGAACTGGACGGCCACATGTGACCTCAAGGCTGCACATTTCCCACCCCTGGACTAGATGGTCTCTTTTAATGCTAACGTGCTATTCTGCCTTGACATCGGCAGCGTATTTGGAATAGAATTAGTTGTGATCTACAAAAATAATAATATTTGTTTTTTGTCTGGATCTGTGATTTCTTCAGTGTGAGGAACTCTGGTGGAAAATCCCACTGCATGTCAGCAACTGCTTTGCAACTTCCAGTCATCGAGAATTGCTGGGGGTCCTAGGAGGTTCAGTGACTGAGGCACAGAATTAGTCTGTGTCTGAGGTGGGACTTGAACCCAGGCTTTATAGACACTATTCTTGCTGTCTCTCTTTAATAATAAAAGCTATAATATTTAATCATCCCTTTCATGCGTCCTGAGCTTTTGCAGTTTACAAAGAACTCCTTTGATCTTCACCACGACCCTGGGAGGTATCTGGGGCAGATGCCATCTCCTTGTTTCCGAGGCCCAGAGAGGGTCAGTGACTTATCAAAATTCACACAGCAAGCAGCAGATCTGTGTCTAGACTGCACCTCTCTTGATACCCAGTTTAGTTGTGTCTTGCCAGGCTGCCCCTCTCTCCCCTCTTTGCTCTGAGCATGCCCGTTCCTGACAGCTAAAGAGTGGAAAGAACACTGGTTGGTTGGTGGCAGAGGGGAAGACTTGGCTTCTTGCCCAGCTCAGTCGCCAATTTGCTGTGTGATTCTCGGTGAACTGTATGAGTCTCGTGGTAGAGGCTCTCATGATTCCTTTCAATCTGATTCAAGAAGCATTTATTAAGTGCCCACTATGTGCCCTCAGGGAGCTTACTTGCTACTTGGAGAGACGGCATATACATAAGTGAATTAACACAAGGCATGTAGGACAGATACAAAACGAATACAAAGTCATTTGGGGCGTCAGAGTGGAAAAACACTGCGAAGCTGGGGTCATCAGGAAAGGCATCCTGTAGGAGCTTAGCCTTGGCATCTGAGCTCAGCCTGGAAGGAGGTATGGGATTCTAAGAGAGAGGTGAGAAGAGAGTGTGTTACAGGAAAGGGAGACACTTGTGAAAAGGCGTAGAGATTTGAGAAGGCGTACTGCTACTTGGCTGCCATAATGACATTAGGCAAGTCACTTCAACCTCTCCGAGCCCCAGTTTCCTCATCTGTCAAATACAGGGGTTGAGCTAGACGGCCTCTGAACTCCCTGGCAGCTCTTTATGATTGTACTGGGATCAGCACAGGGATGTTTGGATGGAACAGAGAGTTTATGAAAGGCAATAATGTGAAATCGGTCTGGAAAGACCTATGAAGGGTTAATATTATAATAATTAATATAACATAATACAATACAATATAACATAACATACACAACATAACACAACATGACATAACATAATATGATATGATATGATAAGGTATGATATGATGTGATATAATATGGCAGCTAGGTGACACAGTGGATAGAGTGCTAGGCCTGAAGACTGGAAGATTCATCTTTCCAAGTTCAAATTTGGCCTCTGACACGTACTAGTTGTATGACCCTGAGCAAGTCACTTGACCCTGTTTGCCTCGGTTTTCTCATCTGTAAAATGAGTTGGAGAAGGAAATGGCAAACCACTCCAGTATCTTTGCCAAGAAAATCCCCCAAAATGGTGTCATGAAAAATCAGATATGACTGAATCCACTGAACAACCACACATATAATATCATGTTATTATAGTATAGTATAGTATAGTACAGTATAGTATAATAATATTATATATTATAACATATATAATAATAATTTTAGGTGATTCCTCCCTTTCTTCTCTGGCTCCTCACTCCTGTTTATCTCCTTTCCTTCCCTTCCACTAAACCACCTGCTCTAATTATCTCTCTTATCTGCTATGGGTAGGTTTATCTCTTAAACAACTGAGTGGGTTTATTCAGATGGTTTAAAATGGGCCAGGGTGTACTGAGGCCTCTTTAAACCTGCTCACAAGAACTGATTGTTAAATGTTCAGTGTGAGCATCTGCACCTCTGAGATTGGCAAAGCCTACTGACCAGGACTTGATTTATTATTTGGTTGATTGTCTAAGAAAGTGATGATTAACTTAAAATATGTGGCATGGTCTCAGACCAAATACTTCACACTTACTAGCTGTGTGACTCTGGGCAAGTCACTTAATCCCAATTGCCTAAAAAAGAAAAACAAAACCAAAATACAAATAAAATGTGTGGCATGCATTCATTGTTTTTGGAGATCCAGTTATTAAGTTTTTACCAGCATCCCCCTGCAAAGCAGTCAGCAATCTCTGCTAGTTCTGCTTCCACCTTTGTGAGTTAATGATTGTGAGTGTATGTCTGAGAGTGCAAGTGTGTGTATGGAGGGATTAGAAAATGTGGTTACCCAAGTCTTCCTACATGCCTTGCCTTGCCTAGAGAACACCATTCATTACAGAAAGGGGAGGAAGGGGGAAGGCCTCGGCCCCAACTACATGGGGCTACCTGGTTGTGTCTTCCCCCCAAAGTTCTGGGAAGGGCCCATGCCAGGATGCCTTCTCCAAAGTGAGCAGCCACATGGATATGGTGTTTTGTCTTTGTCTAAGAAGAGCCCTCCAACGTGAAGGACCAGGAGTGCCTGCGGCTGCTGCTTCAGCTCAGCGAGCAATACCAGCATCTGTGGGACCTGACCCAGGTCAGCCTCCGAACCCTGAGGCAGAGGCTTAACTCCCCAGCCACCATTGGCCTGCACACCCTGCACCTCCTTCACAGCTCGGACCTGTTCCTGGATGCCTACCGGCAGTGAGTGCTGGGGATGAGGAGTCACTTTGTGGGCTTGGTCTGGGTTCACAGCCTGCCTGGTCCCCACAGTCTGTGTTTACCAACGTGACTTTGTCAGTCTGGGGAACCTGATGGGCCCTTTCTCAGAATCATGTTTTTAAATGTGTAAAATAAAATACAGAGCATTACAAAGGAAATTGTTTATATTGAAATATAATATATTGAAAATATATTGAAATTCAACATATATTGAAATGCAATATGTTGAAAATATATTGAAATTCAATATATATTGAAATATATCATAAAATACCTTTAAATAAAAAGCCCTTGTGACTATAACCCTGAATGATAGCAGTATGAATTAAGGCTGAGGGAATATTAGAGAGACAAGACAAAGCTTAACTAAAAATAGAAAAAAAGACATGCAGGAGATGTTATGTCATGTGTGTGCTCAGGGCCATGAGGCCTGGGAGCCTTGAATGATGAACAAAGGCATACACAGACTAAGCTTGGCTGTTTTCCCCGAGTCCAGGGAGGTCTGCGGCAGGGAGGTTTGGGGCTCGTGGATGGAGAGGGAATTAATGTCGTCTATGCAGGTATTTTGTGATATATACCAGCTGTGTGGCAGTGCAGACCTTTCAGAAGGCTACCAGGAAGAAGAGGTGAGTAAAATGAGGCAGTCACCAGGTTGGGGGTGGGGGAGAGGCATTGAATGCTAGGCTGAATGACTACAGCTCCCTGCAGTCAGTCCAGGACTCATGCTGAACCTAGGTCAGCCTTGGGCCATTAATAAATGATTGACTAATAAGCCTGTTTATACTTATCTATGGGAGGCAGTGTGAAAGAGTGGAGAGAGTGTTTTATTTGGAGTCTCAGGAGCTGGGTTCAAATCCTGAATCTGCCACTTAGAGACTTAGGAATAGAAAGGGATAAAGGAGGGTAAAAGAAGGAGGTTCCATGATGGGGTTCATTTCTTCTCTGGGGCCACAAAATGACAGTGAGTTTTGGAGGAGCCAGAGGAAGGCATTGAAGCAGTTCCTGACCAATGTGACCTTGGAGACTTCGGGGGCGGCCGGCCTGCCTCACGTCCTCTGCCAGCCTCTCACAGATCACGTGCAGCAGTATGTCCTTATCTTGCTGAGACTCGGAGATGCTGTTGGCGAGGTATTGCTTGGGAGGGGAGGCCCTGCTCTGAGGGGAGACACAGCCCCTGCCCCCAGGGAGCCCTTGGTCTGACAGGACAGATGTAGCCTCTGCTCTTAGAGATCCCCTAATCTGAAGTATCCCTGACCACAGGATAGAGGAGAAAAGCACAAAAACATGTACAAATCACAAATGTCAGAATTTACGTGAATACAGCACCCATAAATTCTAAGAGCACCAGACTGGGTTCATAGTTGAGTTCTCAGAGTAAAAAATTAATCAGTCAGGTCTAGCCTTTTCCTGCTCTAAATGTGATGAGTTTTTGATTCAAAAATCCTGAAGGAAGTGATTTTTTTAAAGGAAGAAAGAGAGTCACTCTAGGAATTTTGGGGTCTTTCAGATCAGAACCCAAGAGACTGGTTTCCTGTTCTGTGTGTGCTGTGAAGTCTAGGGAGAAGGTCAGACATGCTGTATCGTAGAATCACAGAATCTCACAATCCCCAAACCAGGTGCCATCTTTTTAGACTATACCCAAACAGAAATCCCCTCTTCTACTACATCTGACAGAGGGTCATCCAGCCTTGGAAAGGCCAATTCGACTTTTGGACAGCTCTAATTGTTAGAAGATTCTTCCTTATTTAAAGCCTAAATCTCCTCTTTGTAATTTCCATCCATTGGTCCTGCTTCCGGCCTCTGGGATCAAGCAGAATAAATCAAAACTCTTTTTCACATGACAGTCTTATAAATTACGGAGGCAGCTCTGTGGTAAGAGTACTGGAGATGGAGTCAGGAAGATCTGAGTTCAAATCCTACTTAGGAACTTAGTAGCAGTGTAACCCTGCTCAAGTCACTTTACCTTTCTCAGCCTTGGTTTCCTCATCTGTAAAATAGAGATAACAGTCGCACCCACTTCACAGGGTTGTTATCTGAGGATGAAGTGAGATGCCATACGTACAGTGCTTTATAAACCATAAGGTGCTACATAAATGCTGGTTGCTTCTTGAAGACAGCACCTGTCACGTCTTCCCCTCTCCCCATATGTCAGGCAGGACGCAGGGACGAAGCTCTGCCCCAGATGTCAGAGCTGCCAGCCCTGCCTCACTTGCTTCTTCCCCCGTTAGCATCACTCTGCCAGGGAGCTGGCCATCCAGGCTGCTGACCGCTTCGTGACTCTTCAGTCCTTCATCAGACGGGCTCTGGATGAAGCCTCGGCCACCCAGGCTCTGTGGGAGATGTTGGGCAGCCGACTAGGGGTGAGTGTGCTCAGGGCATGGGCATTTTGTCCACGAGGAGAGAATGGGACGGGTTGTAAAGTCTTAGAGACCCTCTGGGGATAGATGTTCCTTGATCTTCGTTGGCCTCCTTTTCCAAAATCCTTCAGCCCATTAACAAATTTTCCTCTTCTGGCAAAGGGTAAACAGGATCTGAGGGGAAGGAATGATAGGTTACACTTCATGACCTTGAGCTAGGAGAGTCTATGATTTTAACCTGCCCTTCCAAGAAGCCCCTCTCTTCCTACGTTGGGAGTGAGCCAATCCACTAGCGATTTGCATTATGGTGGAGTCTAGTGAAAAGAAGACAGAGTCTGGAGTCTTAAGTATGCCACTAACTCACTCTATGACTTTGGGCAAGTTCTTTCCTCAGGGACTCAGTTTCCCCTTTTATAAATGAAGGGGTCATTCTCCCCAGCTCCCACCTTTCTCTCCTTGTGTCATCTTCCAGCTTTGATATTCTATGCCCTGTGTTCTAAGATCTCTTTTGGCTCTAGACATTCCGAATTCTATCTTCTAAAAACTATCTCAGCTTTGAGAGTCTATCTCCTTTGTTCTAAGGCTCCCTCCTAGCTCTAACATTTGATGGTTCTATGCCAGTTAGCTTAATGATTGATGTAGCTAACCCTACTGCAACATTTTTGCATCACTATGGTTGGGTTATTTTCTTCATAAAAGTAGGTAACAAAAAACACACCTCAGAAAGGATGTCCAAAAGAGCTTAACAGGTTTAGGTATATTGTCCCTCAGGCTTTATTGAACTCTCATTGTCTAATGCATATCTTTCTTGCTGTACTTTTGACCACTCCCATGAGTAAGCATTGGATGCCAATGGAAGGCTTAGTTTCTTGGAGGATTGAGATGGGAGGGACAGGGAGCCAGGGGCTGCTTCTGAATTTTATTGAATTCCCTTCCCATTGAGGCCCTGTTCCCATCCCCTTTCTCCCTACCCTTTCTAGGATGCCCTCTGCACGGCAGACCGGAGACTGCTTCTGGACAGCCAGGAAGTGCCGGCGGTGGCCAGCCCAGTCCGAGCTGACCGAGTCCTCCTTTTCAATGATGTTCTTGTTTTACTGCAGGTGAGAAAAGTGATCTTGGAAAAGGGACAAAGGGAATAGTCCCAGGGATGAGTAGGGGGAATAGCCTTCTTGGGAGAGAATATAGGGAGAGATAGAGGGGTAAGTGCCCAGCCACTATCCTGAAAAGAGACGAGTAGGTACCCCCTGCCAGCAGAAGTGCGGCTCTATGGCAAGAGCGCTGGGCATCTCTTTAGAATATCTGAATTCTAATTCTGCCTCCGATGATTTCTAGCTGTCGTAGAAGAGGTGCTGTCCTGTATTGATAGAGTTTACTCATTGGGAGTTCCCTATACCAATAAAATCATGTCCTGTTTCAGAAAAACAAAATGACTTCACAAACTTTAGAGGAATATGCAAACATGAATTATTATAAAATCTCTTTTTCCTTGCTTAGTGGGCTTCCCAACAATAAAAAAAAATTACCTCTGTTAGGGTATTTAGCTTAGGAAAAAACTTTGGAGATCATCTTTTCTGATCTCTCGTTTTATTTAAAATTTTTTTCGAAAAAAATTTTTTCTTTTTGCTTTTTGGTGAGGCAATCGGGGTTAAGTGACTTGCCCAGGGTCACACAGCTAGTAAGTGCAGTGTTTCTGAGGCTGGATTTGAACTCAGGTCCTCCTGACTCCAAGGTTGGAGCTCTGTCTGCTGCACCTGATCTCTCATTTCACAAACAAAGAAACTGAAGCCTAGAAAAGCTGGATCTTGTTTAATATCACACGGATTTCCTAACTCCAAGTCGGGTGTTCTGCCCCAGACTTCAGGACAACTTGGATTTATTTCTTTTTAGAGAGGCAGCATGGTGTCATGGAAAGACTGCCAGAGTTGGAGTCAAGAGACTCAGGGCTCAAATCCTGGTTCTGCTACTTGTGTGACCCTAGATAAGTCCCTTTACTTTTCTGACCCTCAGATTATTGATCTTTAAACCGCGACAATAATCCTAACACAATGAAATAATCCTTGCCTCACAAGGTTGTTGGAAGGAAAGTGATTTTTCAGCTTTAGCAAGCGAGAGAAATCGGGGCTGCTGTTTTTGGAAATGGAGAACCCAGTGCTAGATAAAATATAATGGCTCTGGTTGGGAGGCAGTGCAAACATTACTCCCCTCATCTTAGAGAGGAGGATACTGAGGCTCAGAGTTCTCCACCCCCTGCCTCTTCCCCCATTGAAATGCTTCCTCCCGTGTGACCTTGATGGACCTTCCCTTCTCTCCCCATCTTGCGTAGCTGAAAAGGATGTTTTCCACTTGACATTTTCCTCTGGTTCTTTGCCTTCATCACACGTTCCCAGGCTTATTTGTGTGCATGCCGTATCTGACTGGATTACAACAGAAGTCATTGCATCCTCAAGGTTTGGGGCAGAGGGTTGCCCGTAAGGTTGTGTGAACAATGTCTGTTCACTTTGTTGAAAGCTGGGACTTGCCCAAGGTCATGCAGCTAATCTGGTCTGGGGCTTGGATCTGGGTAGCTTGGGTTCCCAACCCAATGATCTGTGCTTCCTTAATCTCTCCATTCCAGAGGGGAAAACTGAAGGCTGTAGAAATCAAGTCACTTGCCACAGGGTCACGGCTTGTCAATGGCAGAGCCTGAACTGCAATCCAAGTTGCCTACCCCAGGACCTGAGGTCTTTTATCTACATAGGTTAAATGCACTTTGAATATAAGAGAAGAGTCTGTAAACAAACAAATAAAAACCATCTATAGGATGACCTCTTCACAAAAATATACTTTTATCTCCTTGTAGTTGGGGCAGCTTGGTGGCAGTGGATAGAACTCCAGACCTGGAAGTCAGGAAAACCTGAGTTCAAATCTGGCCTCAGACACTTAATAGTTGTGTGACCTTGGGCAAGTCATTTAACCCTGTTTGCCTCAGTTTCCTCAACTGTAAAATGAGCTGGAGAAGGAAATGGCAAATCACTCCAGTATCTCTGCCAAGAAAACCCCAAATAGGGTCATAAAGAGTCGGACACAATTGTGTTCAACTGAACACAACAAAAGTTGGGCTCTGGATATGTGCTCGTGGTCAGTGATGCTACCTTTTGCTCTTTCAGGGTCACAGCTTCCAGACCTTTGACCTGAAGCTGGTCTGGGTGGATGGCAGGCATAACAAGAAGCAGATGTCAAACAGGTGAGTGAGTGTAGATTGCAGTTAGATAGTGAGAGTGACCCAGGTTCCCCCTTCCCTTTTCCTGCTCTGTAGGAGGGAAGCTTTCGTTGGCTGTCCCCCAGTGTGTAGAATGCTCTCCTTTCTCATCTCTGCCTCTGGCTTCCCTGGCTTCCTTCAAGCCTCACCTTCTGCAAGAAGCCTTTCCCAGTCCTCCTTAGTCTCAGTGTCTTCCCTCCCTCTGAGACCACCCCCAGTTTAGCCTGGATGCCTCTTGTTTGTACAGAGCTAGTCACATGTTATATCCCTCAATAGACTATGACCTCCTCAAGATCAGGGACTGGCCTTTTTTTTTTTTGCCTTTCCTTGTATCCCACAGTGCCTGGTACATAATAGGCATTTAATAAAAATAATAGCCTTTTTATGGTTTGCAAAGTGCCCTCCTCACAATGAGCCTCTGCTACTTACTGGTTGGGTGACCTTGGGCAAATCACAGAACCTTTCCGGGCCTCAGTTTCCTTCTCTGTAAAATGAGAGGGCTGGAATAGATGATCTCTAAGGTGCCTTCTGACTATGGCTCCTATAAATGTCGGAGGCAGGAAATCATTGCCTCTGTCCTTTGACTTCAAATCCTAAGCCCTTTCCCCAAAGCAGTGTGATGCTGGTCTGTGGTCAAGGTTTCTCAGTCTTCACTCAGCCTGCTAGGGGCTGTGCTGGATATAGCCTGGGTTCAAATCCCCCCTCAGGCACTTGCTAGCTGGGTGACTCTAGGTAAGTCACTGAACCTTTCTGTGTGACTCAGTTTCCACATTGTAAAATGGGGATAATAACAGCATCTAATGAGATCATATTTGTAGAGCACTTAGCACAGTGCCTAGTGCGTAGGTGGTTTTGTTCTTAGGTTTTGAAGAGAACCGGTGACATCAAAGATGATGTCTTGACTTGTGTGTGAATTGGATTCAAGTGAGGCAGAAATGGACAATGTTGTCATCCTCGCTCTTTTTTTTAAATTTTTTTTTTTTTGCTCTTTAGGCAATTGGGATTAAGTGACTTGCTCAGGGTCACACAGCTAGTAAGTGTCAAATGTTTGGTCTGAGGCCGGATTTGAACTCAGGTTTTCCTGACTTCAGGGCTGGTGCTCTATTCACTGTGCCACCTAGCTGCCCCATCCTCACTCTTTCTACCTGAGTGATTGAAGGCCAGTGGCAGGACAGAAGTCAAGACAACTATCGCTGGCCTGGGGTGCGGCGGGTGACCTTGGTGGCGTAGTTGTCTGACCAAGCTCTAAGTGCTCACTGGCACCTGCCGCCTCATCGGTCACCTTCACGCCCATTGGAACAAACTGTTCTCGTCTGCCTATCCCTCCAAGTAAAGTCTTCACATACTTGGGGTAGACACCCCCCTAAGTCACCAACAGGTTTGAGGCTTGTCAGTTTTGACCCCCAACCTGGTTTAGCCTGTCTGCCAAGATGGTTCTCTGGGATGTGGCCACCATGCATGCCACTGTGTGGTTGTTGGAGCTGCAGGCACCAGGTGGACACCCAAGGTGGATGAGCAGCCCTGGAAAGGGCTCGGCAAGCCCTCAGCCCAGAAGTGCTAGTCCTCCTGAACACCTCCCTTCCCCCCACCCAACTCAACTCCAGGATTGTTGGGAGGATAAAACAAGATAATATTTGTAAAGCACTTTGCAAACATTAAAAGCCCTATGCCAATACTAGTGCCTTTGGAGATGATACTTTACTAATCTGATATATTAATAATAATTTATAACAGCTAATTTCTCTAGCAGTCAAAGGTTGATAAAGCACTTTCCTGATAATGACCCTAGGAAGTAGATAATGTAGGTATCATTACCCCTGTTTTGCAGAGGAAAAAACTGAGGTTTAGACAGAGGAAGTACACACATAGAGTCAATTGCAGAATTGTTACTCGATCCTAGGTCTTCTGCCTCAAGTCCAGTGCTCATTCTACTACACCATGTGATTACTATTGTGGGCTGCTTATTGTAACTCCTGTCCTTTCAGGTATGGGTTCCATGTCATCACGCCTGAAGAAGAGTTCTCTCTCTCTGCAAAGGATGCCCAAGGCAAGGTGAGTAAGGAGGGAGGCTGAGCCCAGGAAAACAGAGGCCTCATGTCAGTGAACCACAAGCATCCTTAATACCTGGCTATAAAGCCCACAGTTCCCTCCATAGTGAGTTGTCTTGAATATGCAGAGATCTCCTTTGGAAGTGTGCTTGGAGCTGTATCCCTAGCAAGGGGCGCAGTTCACACAACCCCACCATTTGTTCACATAGTTTTCTCTGAATGAAATGAATGGATAAACAAAAAAAAAGCATTTATTAAGCAGTGTTTATGTGCCAAGAGCTATCCCAAATGTTGGTAGTACTGAGATAAGCAAGTACGCTGGTCCTTGCCCTCAGGAGGCTAATATCCTAATAGGGAAAGACGATTCATTTAGAGAAGGTGTGAGGAATATTTTAGTCAACAAAGATCCTAAGGAGAAAGTACTGATTGGAGTCAGAAGGCAATTGATTGACTCTATGAGCCAAAGTATGAGATTGTGAAATAACTGCTCTGTGGCCTGGGTTAAGCCTCAGTCAGAAGAACACATTTTTTTTTCTCTGTGAAGCTAACTGTTATATATGGAGTTGGACTCCCTCTCCACTTAAATCCCTTCTCTCCCTACCCCATCTGGTTCTCATGTGTTCTTTCTCTAACCACTGGACTAACTGGACAGTCTCAATAATAGAAATAACCAATAGTAGTTAAGTGTGATTAAAGTTTAGAGTAGGGAGAGGTTAACCAAGAGAAGGATTCTTTTGAGTAGCTGTAGGAGTTCTACTGTACTAATAGTAGTAGTAGTAGTAGTAGTAGTAGTAGTAGTAGTAGTAGTAGTAGTAGTAGTAGCAATCAATATTTATGTAGAGCATTAAGGTTTGCAAAACCCTGTACACTGATAATCTGATTTGGTCCTCAATAGCTGGGAGAAGCTATTACTATTCCCATTTTACAGATGAGGAAACTGAAGCAGATAGTGGTCAAATAGCTTGAAGCTGGTTAATGTCTGAAACAGAGTTTAAAATCTTGGTGTTCTTAATTTGTACTTCAGGGTGCTTTATACACTCCACCATCTAGCAGTCCTAAGGACACAGAGATGGTCTTGGAAACTTTCAGCTGCTATTTGCCCAATCCAGGAAGGTTTCCTCGTGGAGTGACCTTCTAGAAGTGGTATGAATGAAAGGAGTGTGATGACTTTACCTCCCCACTTCTTTCCTACCCTCCCCAAACCTGTGAAATATCCATCCTAGCTTTTCTTCTGCAGGCTTGCTGGCTGTCCAAGGTGAGCCAGGCCATCTGCCAGGCACTGAGGGGAAAGAGGGACATTCCTGTGCTGGAACAGGACCAGGACCAGGAGGGGGCCGAACCCCCTGCCTCCCGATGCTGCCTGTACACTTTTCGAACTGAGGACCGGCTTCGTCTTGCCACCTATGATGGCAGTTGGTTCTGGGGGAAGCCTCATGGAAAGTGAGTGAGTGGCTCTTGGGGAGGGGGAGGAGGGAGGTGTGTCACAGAACTTGAGAGCTGGATGGATCTCCACACTCAACTACTACAACTTGTGCACAAAAGGAATCTTCACTGTAACAAAATCAATACATTCTTTGTCCATTCTCTGCTTGTAGACCTCCGAGGAGGAGGAACCTCTCCTCCCTAGAAGTCAGCCCCTTCCACTTTTGGACAGCTCCAATTATTAGACCATGGGGTATTCTGATCCCAAATCCAATATTCTTTTGCGCTATGAACTTTATAAGTTGAGAGGCTCTCAATAAATGGCAGCTGTCATTTTTATTATTATTAGAAAACTCTAAAATCACAGGTCACTTTTGTCCATGCTTCTCATTGCTTCCACATTCCTTGTTGGTGACATGAGGGACAGGCTATTGCTATCTGGAAGGGTTGAGGAAGAAATGAAGACTCAGAAACATGACTCTGCCTTCTCTCCTATCCCTGACACTGAGCAGCTGCCCTCTGATGGCCTTTAATTTTCACCCATTGTTTTACAGGGGTACTTTGAAGTGGCCAGATGGAAGAAATCATGTCGGTGATTTCCATCAAGGCTTGGAGCATGGGTAAGACCCTGTGGGATGAGAAGGGTCATGACAGCCAGGGCCAGGAAGCCTAAGTGACTGCCCCTGGGGCAACTCAGGAAAGGGGAGGCATAGATTAGCTTCTGAATCCTGAGGCCACACGGGGCAGGGGTCCAAGGGAAGTAGGACTAACTCTTCTGCGGGTGGAAGAACCAGTTTGGTTTTTGTGAGGGAGAGGATAAAGAGACCAGAGGAGGAGGGAATGGTATCTTTTTAGAAAAGGAGTGGGAAGTAAAGATGAAATTGTTTTCCTAGGCTTTCATGCTGGTCTGACCCTCTTGACTTTGGCTGAATCTCTTATCTATAAAATGGGGATAATAATAATTACTTACCCTATAAGACCGTTGGCTGGAAAGTGACTTTGTAAACATCAAAGTGTGATCAAGTGGGGAAGTTAGGTGGAGCAGTGGATAGAGTGCCAGGCCTAGAATCAGGAAGACTCATCTTCCTGAGTTCAAATCTGGCCTCAGACACTTACTAGCTCTGTGGTTGCCTCAGTTTCCTCATCTATAAAATGAGCTGGAGAAGGGAATGACAAACCACTCTAGCATCTTTGCCAAGAAAACCCCAAATGGGGTTATGTTGGACACAAATGAAATGACTTAACAACAAAGATAATTATAATAATAGCTTTCATTTGCAAAGTATTTCAATGTTTGTGAAACTGTTTGTATACATCTTCTCATTAGAAATATAAGCTGTTAATAACCCAGTTTTCCTGGATTTATAGATAAGTCATCATCATCACCTTCATCATTATCATCATCAATACCTATAAATCCAAGCATTCTTCCTATAGGAGGAGGGTTTTTAGAAGCTGAATGGGGAAAGGGAGAGGGCTAGGAAGCAGGAAGTAGGCAGAACCAGAGGTCTAACCTGGCATGTAGTCCTAAAGATGGAGGAGTCTGAAATCCCCATAACCTTCATGCCCCATCTTTGGTTGATTCTATAGGTTTGGGATCCACCTGGTCCCGCATGGGGCTGAAGACAAGTATAACTGTTACAAATGCCATTGGCGAGAGGGCCAGATGCAGGGCTATGGCATCTGTGAGTAAGTGATGATTCTGGGCCTTGGGGGGGAGGTGGGAGACAAGGCCAGATGGGGAGGGGGTGGGGAGGAGAGTGACTGGGACACCCTTCTGATCTCTATGCATAGAATAACGAAACAAATGCCCAAGGTCGATGCAGGAGACCTAGGTGTGAGACCCTGGCTCTGCCCTTAGATTTACTGGGTGACCTTCCTCCAATCACTTTCCCTCTATGAACCCCAATTTCTATAAAATGAAAGGCCCTAACTCAAGCATTCTTAATTTTTTGTGTTATAGGCATCTAATCCCTTTCTCAGAATTAAAAAAATGCATAAAACAAAGTATATTACAAGAAAACATTATATTAATGCAAATATGTAATTTTTTTCCCATTCAAATTCATGGATCCCTTGGGGAATGGAGGAGTTTTGTACCTCGGATTAAGCACCTGAATTAAATGGTTTCCAATCTAAGATCTCTCCCAGTCCTCCCATTCTCTGGTTCTATGAATCCTGTTTCTAGGTTCTTCTCTCTATAGGCAGCAGTGACTTTTTTTAGCAGGATTTCCTACCCTCATTAGTCTCCCAAAGGGAAAAGGCAGGAACCCTGGGGGAGGCTGACCACATCTTAGTTGGAAGAGACCTCAAAGGCAAGTTTGTCCAACTTGATCCTGGACAGGAATTCCTTCCATTTCACTCACAAGAAGCAGTTTAGTGATAAGGAACTTGCTCCTCTTCAGGACGGCCCACTCAACTTGTAGACACCATGAGTCATTAGGAAGTTCTTCCTTATAGGGTGCTGAAATGTGTTTCTCTCATTTCCCCTGGTGTATCTAAATTCTTCCCTCTGGAGCTAAAGAGAAGCACTGTGATCCCTGCAACACATGATAATCTTCACTTATTTGAAGACAACAGTTATGTGCCCTCTAAATGTTCTTCCTAATTTCTTCTACAAATCCTACACCTTTGCCTGATGCACCCTGGGTTCTGAGTGACTGATTGTTTCTTATTGCTGGCCCTTAGGCAGTAGCCATGACACCAATACTATAATGGGCAGCAGGAAGCAGAGGGGAGACCCCTAGCCAAGGGGGGTTGGTGGATTCTGGTAGCAAGTGTCCCAGATGTCCCTCAGTAAGTTTCCTGCTCAATTCACAGTTAGCAAGGGGAGTTAAGACATCTGTCAGTCATGGCTACTGACAGCATGAACACTCACTCCGTAACTGGAGTCAGGCCTCAGTCTGTAACTAGGCACTGGTATTTTTCTCAGTAGAAATGGCACATATGGCCTTGATTTCACGGGCACCAGGTGCTGAGGTGTCTCAGCCACAGTCCTCTTACTGTAGGGATGTGGAGCTCTTGTTAAGGAGATGCTGGCCAGTGTGTCCTTCCGGGTGTTTGCTGACCTATAAACCTCCCCTTCCCCTTCAGGTATGCCAATGAGTCTGTGTATAAAGGCTACTTCCGAGACAACATGCGGCAGGGATTTGGGGTCCTGGAGAGCTCCCCTCAAGCTCCGCAGCCTTTCAAGTTCATAGGGCACTGGGATAGGGACAAGAAGGACGGATATGGGGTCTTGGAGGACAAAGACAGGTAAGGGCCTTAGGTGGGGATGGAGCTCCCTCATGGTCACAGGGGCCCAGTCTCCCCTGGATTATTAGCAGCCAGTTCATCTATCTGTCACTGCCTTATGGACAAAATCTGAGACTTGGAAAGAAACAGTCCTTGTCCTTAGAGATCTCTTGTTTGAGGAAGAAATATACCATAGGGAGCCTAAGGGAGAATCATGACCCCGTTCTTGTGAACCTGCTGTGGGGGTAAAAACTCCTAGTCCAGGATGGGGAACCTGCGGGCTTAAAGCCACATGTGGCCTTCTAGGATTCAGTCAAAAGGCCGTGCTCAAGGACCTAGAAGGCCACAGGTTCCTTACCCCTGTCGTTGTCTGATGGGGAAAATAGGACACCCAGAGAAAACTCACCTGAAACTTATAATTGGCTCTATAGCTCTTTACAGTGACTGGAATCAGGTAAGGCATGTCGGGAAGGCGATGGGGGGTGGAAGGTTGGCCTTTCAGTGCTGTCTGTCAGACACGTTACTGAACAAAGGCACAAACGTCTGCTTGGAAGGAGGTTCCTTCTTCCTGCTAACGCAGACACGCAAGGCCTGGCTGACGTCTGAAAGTCACCACAAAAGCAAAGATGAGAATCCATAGCAATGGGAAAACAAAAACGCATGGTTCTACTTAGGCAGATGGGGAATTATAAATGGAAATTTATGGACATGTGGGCACGGACTCTCAGAGAAGAATCTCACTGCTTTTCTCCCTAACACAGGAGTTCTTAATTTGGTGCTCGTGAACGTGTTTGAAGAAATATTTTGACATCTGCATTGCAATATAATCGCTTTTCTTTGTAACGCTGCATTTTATTCATTTACAAACCTGATCCTGGGAAGGGGTCTGTAGGATTCACCAGACACTGCCAGAGGCATCCGCTCACCCGAGCGGCACAAAAGGGGTTAAGAGAGAGCTCCTGCTCTGGCTGGCTCACAAAGGATCCTTCTCTCGGTTTTCTTTACAAAAACAGGCATTCCCTCTTCCTTTGGTCAGCAATAAACAAGGAGCTCTTAGTTTGCATCAAGATCTAGCTTCCTGTTCTGTCTCAGTACACTCTCTATTTTGATTAAGTCTCCTACTCAAGGAAAATTGAATTAGATTTTCTGTCTCAACCAAGCATCTCAGATCAGGACACTGTTCGGAGGTTGACTCGAATGAGAGGCAGCACTTGCATGGCGGAGCAGTAGATGGGATACTGGACTTGGAGTCAGGAAGACCTGGGTTCAGATCCTGCCTCAGACACTTGCTTAACTCCATCACTTCATCCATAAAGTGAATGGGGTTGGGATCCACGGCCTTAGGTCTTTTTAATTCTGAATCTACGATCCTGAGTTCTCAGTGCTTTCTGCTTCTGCACTGGGAAAGTGAAAATCGGGGCTCGAGGGTTCTGCTCCTTCCCCTCACAGCTAATCTTGGGTCAGACAGCAGAATGTGGCGGGAAGAGCCCTGGACCAGAACTGGAGAAGAGGGGGTTGTAGTGCTTGGCTTTGCTATTGGGTGAATCCCTTCCCTTGTCTGGTCCTCAATGTCCTCCTCTGTAAGTGAGTGAATCAGAGGACCTGGGTTCAAATCCCAGCTCTGCTCTTGTGTGACCTTTGGCAAATTGCTTAACCTCTCTGGGCCTCGTTCCTTGCCTATAAAAGGTGGGGACTTGACCAGATGACCTTGGAAGTCCCTTCTGTCTCTAAACCTATGGCACCATGCCTAGAGAACCATTCAACTTTAATACTGTGAAACTTTTCTAAACCACATCGTTTTTCTGCTAACAAAGTAGAGAAAAGTGCCATGAAGTGTCTGTTTCTGAAAGATTTTGTCCAAAGGGTGAGGGAAGACTTTGAGATCTTCTAAAGACCAATGCTGTTGAAACAGAAGGTGCATTTAGTTTACATGTAGAATACAGATGTTGGTGAATTGGGTTACTTGTTGGCAGCCCACACTAGAGGCTTCCCCATGCTGCTGAACAGGCTTAGGGACTCCCTTCCTTACACCCTTCATGGCTTCTCAAAAAGCTTCATGCGCTCCTTTCTTTTTCCCCCCCCATAGGCAATTGGGGTTAAGTGACTTGCCCAGGGTCACACAGCTAGTAAGTGTCAAGCGTTTGGTCTGAGGCCTGATTTGAACTCAGGTCCTCCTGACTTCAGGGCAGGTGCTCTATCCACTATGCCACCTAGCTGCCCTGTGCTCCTTTCTTTTATTGGGGTCTCTTGTCCAGCTGTTGATCAGGGCAGCTGTTGATAGGACAGACAGGTGGTACAGTAGACAAGGCACTGGGCCTATAGTCAGGAGGACCTGAGTTCAAATATGAGCTCAGATACTTACTAGTTGGAAGATGCTGGGCAAGTCACTTTACCTCTGTTTGCCTCAGTTTCCTATAAAATGAGGATAACAATAGCCCCTACCTCACGAGGGCTGTTGTTAGGATCAAATGAGATAATAATTGTAAAGTGAGCACACTGCCTTGCACGTGGTAAGTACAATAGAAATATTAGCTATTATTATTATTTATTGAGAATACTATTTCTATAATATTTTCTGACTTATAAAACCTTTCCTCACAACAACTCAGTGATCATTATTGATCTCTGTTTTACACATGAGGAAACTGATGACAAAGCTAGTGAGTTTTGTAGGATAGGTTCAAATCCCAGGCTCCTGACCTCAAGTCTAAGACCCTAGTGATACCCTGCTCTCCTCACAATTCCACCGTGTTTCTAGGACGCTGTCTGGCTTTCAGTCTTGTCTGTGCTAGAATAACAAGCACCCCCATTTCTGTAGTGTTTTACGGCTTACGAAGCATTTTCTGACACTAATTTTGTGGGGTTGGTAGTGCATACCCCCATTTTACAGATAAATTAACTGAGGCCCAGAAAAATGAAGGCATTTGTTCCAGGTCACACTGAAATATGTGTCAGAGCTGGGATCCAAACACAAGTCTCTCGGCTCCAAATCCAGTGTGCTTTCTTCTACAACTCATTTCCTTTAAAGTGTAGGAATTAAAGGAGGGAAACGTAAAGGGACTAGAGAAAGTTGTAGCTGTCTCCTTAATTTTTCCATCTCTGTCTCTAGCATCCTGCATGGCTTGTCTGCTGTGTGATATTCACCTTGCCAATAGTACCCACTCCTACTCCAGAACTGGCTGTATTATCGAGGGGGTGGGGGGGGGGAACGGGCAATGACTTATGGTCCAACCCCCCCTGCCTCCAGCCCTCCCCACACAGGGTTGTCTCTGTCTTATCCTCCAGGGGGGAGCGTTACATTGGAATGTGGCAGGCTGACCACCGGCACGGGCAGGGCATTGTGGTCACTCAGTCTGGCATCTGTTACCAGAGGACTTTCCATGTAGATAAGATGGTGGTAAGTCATTCCACTCGCTTTTTAATTTAAAAAAAAACACATAAAATTTATAAATGGAGTCAAATAAAAGGAAACAAAAATAGATATTTAAACCAAGTACTAATTTATTTCTTTATTCCACAACTGACAACATTGGCTAGGCTTATAAAGTGCTAAGGAGTTAGAAAAAAGAACAACACATTTAGAGTGCTGATATAATTATCCAAATATGTTGTGGGTTTTTTTTAAGGAAAAAAAAGGCTTGGTATCAAATCCTAAATAAGGGTTGTTGTTGTTGATTTAACTACGTGAGCCCACTGTCTATTACCTTAAACTGGTCTCATCCATGGAGAATGATTCATTCATCCATCTGTTCTTTTGTTTGTTCATTCATCCATCTGTTCTTTTGTTCATTCATTCATCCATCTGTTCTTTTGTTCGTTTATTCATTCATCTGTTCTTTTGTTCATTCATTCATCTATTTATTCAACAAATACTTATCAGTGCTTTTTGTGGGCAGAGCACTTTGTTCAGAGGTAGGGAACATGTAAAGAGTTGAAATAATACAGTTCCTGTTCTCATGGAGTTAACAGAACACTAAAAGCCTAACACAGATAATACACAATGTATAATAATACAGGATCGTCGTGAGATGCAAATGGTAAACTGTTTTGCAAACCTGAAAGTGTGGGATTTTAACGATTTTTATACATGCATCAGAAAGGTGCAAAGTGTTATATGAGTCATTAGCAGTGATTACGAGGATGCTGGGGGATTGGCTAAGAAGGGAGTTCTTAGAGAGGCAAGACGGGGGGAGCTGGAGCCATGATAACTGGCAAATCCTTTAATTTCTCTGGGTCTCACTTTCTTCATCTGTAAAATGGGATAATTGTGCCTTCACTACCTGCCTCACAGGGTAATTGTGAGGAAAATGCTTTGGAAATTTCAGTGTGAGCTAAAAAAAAGAAAAGTAAAATATGAATTGGGCTATAACCCAATATATACCCAAAGGGCAGGTTGGAATTCAATGGGTGAAGATGGGGAGGGAGGATGAGCCAGGTATAGTGGAACAAAGGCAAGGATGTGGGGGGATAATAAGTCATACTAAGACAAGTCAATAAGCATCAATTAGACACTTACTATGTGCCAGGCATTTCGCCAAGAGCTAAAGATACAAAGAAAGGCAAAAAAAAAAAAGTGCTTATCCTCAAGGAAATTACAGTCTACTTGGACAGACGATATGAAATCAGCTGTGTAGAAACTAGCGATATACAGGAAAAACTGGAGATGATCTCAGAGGGAAGGCCTTAGCAATAAGGGGGAGCAAAAGGTTTCTTGCAGAAGATGGGATTTTAGCTGAGACTTGAGAGAAGTCAAGTGGGAGAGAATTCCAGGCTTGGAGGACATCATGGACCTGGGAGATAAGCATTGTGGGAGAGGAACAGAAAGAAGGCCGGTGCCCTTAGATTGTACTCCCATTTAGTGGGAACATGGAACATGTAGAGGTTGACCAGAATACTATGGTGGTACCAGGTCATTTTTAAAGAAATAGTGCCCAGGCCAGTGGGGTGCTCATAGCCCAGCCTCAGATCCTGGCCTACTTGAGGTTGTCTTTATTTCCTAGGAGACCAATATCCCACATCTACTGGTCCCTGCTTTCTTGGTGCCATTTGCCTGGGCCTGGCCTGTAGAGAGCACTCGGTGACTTCCCCACCTTTCTTGGCTCAGGGGGAGGCCAAATGCCCTCTTCCCTTTCGCTCCCCGGGGCCAACGGTTGGGTTTTTCAAAGAGGACCTTGCTCATGATTCAAAAGAAGAAAGCAAGAATAAAAAACCTCTTCCAGGGCCTAGGCCTGTCATCAAACATGAAAATCCCTTGCTAGTAATAGCTTAATATTAACTGCTAACTTTTATAAACCGCGGTGGGCTTTACAAAGCCACGTTACCTACTTCATCTCATTCAATCCCCGCAACAGCCCTCTGAGGAATGTAAGTGCAGTACTATTACTGTTCCCATTTTACAGATGAGGAAACAGAGGCTTCATGCAGCTAATAAATGGCAGAGCTGGGACTTAATAGTAGTAACTGACCTTTATATACGCTTCAAAAAGTTGCGTGTGTATACATGTACTTTTTGATGTATATATTATATACACATATTTTTATATGTCTATATATACCTTTGTATACGCTTTAAAAAGCAATATGTGTATATATACATATATATACACATATACATCTTTGTACATGTATATATATACCTTTATATATATGCTTCAAAAAGTGATATGTGTATATTTTTTGTTTATATAGGTTCAAATGAGATTATATATGTGTGTGTGTGTATACACACATACAAACACACACACACACACACATTTGAACCTCACAATACTCCTGTGTGCCTGTGAGCTAGGTTCCATAGGTATTATTCCTATTTTACAGTTAAGAAAACTGAGGCTGAGTTTGAGACGTACCCACGGTCATGAAACTAGGAGGGGTTACACTAAGGTTTTGAACCCAGGTCTTTCTGACTCTAAGTCCAGCACTCTAGACATTGAGCCACCCAGGCTTAATGACTGTAAAGACAGAGGTTCTCTCTAATATATACTAGCTGCCTCCTGAGGGGCTCTGGCTGGCCACAGAAGCTCCAGGTACAGCTTTCAGGGCCAGCTGGCTCCTAGACTTGGCCTCTCCACCAGGTATGGTGTGGTAGAAAGAACGTTACAATGGCGGTCAAGGAAAGCTGAGCGTCATTTAATCTCTTTGACCTCAATGTCCTCCTGATAAAAGCCCTGGTGCTTTGGGGCCTGGGTAGTTCTATTTGGGAATCTTAAGGAACATTATGCACTTGTGTGTGGAGGCCCGAGATACAAAGTTAGGTAAGTAGAGTACAGAGGTTCTTAAATCTTTGGTCTCAGGTCCCCTTTATACTCTTAAAATTATTGACCCACTCCTTCCCTGCAAAAGCTCTTGTATATCTGGGATATATCAATCAATATTTATCATATTAGAAATTTAAAATGATAAATTTTTAAAATGTGTATTCACTTAAAAGTAACAATAATAAACCCACTGCATGTTAACATACATAACATTTTTATGAAAAATAACTATATTTTCCAAAACAAAAAAATTTAGTGAGAAAGGGGTGGCATTGTTTCACATATTTTTTGCAAATCTCTTTATTGGTTGACTTATTAGAAAACAGTTGTGTCCTCATATTTACTTTTGCATACAATCTGTTGTGATGTGTTGTTTTGGTAGAAAGATATGAAGAAAATCTGGCCTCACACAGATATGTAGTTGGAAAGGAGAGGAATATTTAAATAGGGCAGAGTTCTGGGCCTAGAGGAAGATCCATCTAGTGAGTTCCAATCCGGTCTCAGACATGTACTAGCTGTGTGACCCTGGGCAAGTCATTTAACCTTGTTTGCCTCAGTTTTCTCATCTGTAAAATGAGCTGGAGAAATAAATGGCAAACTACTCCGGTATATCTGCCAAGAAAACCCCAAATAGGGTCATGGAGAGTCAGATACAACTGAAAAACCCCTCCACAACAACAACAACAACAACATTGGAATAGGAAAATAATGCCTTGGTATTATCACAACAATACCTTCAACCTTTTGGACTCCCTTGGAGACTGTGAAAGGGTCTCAGGGATTCTGCGGGTCTCCAGACCTTTGAGAACCTCTGGTCTAAAGGAAAGGGCGCTATTGTTGAAGTAAGAAGACCTAGGTTTGAATCCCGGCTTGCCACTTACTATATGATCTTACGCAAATCATTTAACTTTTATGGACCCCAGTTTCATTATTTGTAAGACAGGGATAACACACTTGTACTAAATACTTTTCAGGGATGTAAGAGTGGAAAACAACTTGTAAATGTTCTCTGGTTTGGTGTGGTTGGAAGAACATGGGATTTGGAGTTAGATTCTTGATCTGCTCCTTCTGAGTTGTATGACTTGGATGAATTGCCCCTGCCTCCTGCACTGGTGGTCTCTTTCCTCATCTGTAAAGAAGGAGGTTGGATCAGATGGGCTCTAGGTTCCTTCCAGCTTCAGGATTCTGAAGGCCATGGGGATGATTCCTGGTTCATTTGCTCTCTAGCTCTCTCCAGAAATGGATCATGTGTGACTTCTTATGCTTTGGGGTCCCCAAACCTGGAATTGCCCTGCTGTCCAGTAGTTCTCCTTGCATTAAAGATAGCATCTGTACCATCCAAATGACTTCCCTGTCTTGGCAGCTGACAAGATACTGAGTTGCATATATTAGCTGGGTGACCTTGGGCAAGGTTTGTTCCTTTACAAAAGGGGCATGAAAATATCTGCACTATATACCTGGATTTGTTGTCAGGAGACCTGGGTTTGAGTCCTATCTTTCCCCCTTGCTAGCTGTGTGACCTTCGACAAGGCAGTCTCTGTGCCTCAGTTTCCCCTCTGTCAAATAATATTTGCACTCTGTACCTCACTGGTTTGTTGTCAAGGATCAAGTCAATAACTGGTATCTAAAGTACTTTAAAACAGCAACAACAATACTATGGTGACCATATCTTGGCCAGCTGAGGTGCTGACCACTGCTTCTTTGGCTGTCTCTCTAGTCAGCCCCTAATACTCTTCTTAAGCACTCCCTGGGCTCTCCTTCCACTGTATCCCTTTCAGGGCCCTGGGATACTCCTGTTGGAAGATGACTCACTCTATGAGGGCAGCTTCACAAGAGACCTGGCCTACACAGGGAAGGTAAGCAAGCCTCTGTTTAGTCATTCAGTAGGATAGGTTATAGTAGAAGAGATTCAGTAGAGTAGATTATAGCTTTGGCCTTGGGGGTAAGGTCATTTAAATTCTTCCTTATTCCAGAATTACTATTAATGCCAGGTTTGGGGTTGAGCTAAGCTCTATTCCTGTAGGGGAAGAGACAAGATGGTGGCATTGACTAGAGGATGTCAAGTCCAGGGTTGCCTGGGTGAAGGGGCTTTTTTGACTTTTGGGTGACTTTGAAGCTGGGAGATGGATTCTTTGACCGTCCAGGAATCAATAATCAAGAGTCCTCTCTGTCCAGTCCCTGTGATTCTATTTCTAGGCTCGAAGACTTGACCATCTCCTTCTCCCTTCCCCCTAGCTCACAAAGCAAGTCTAAAGCTTCTTGGGTTTAAATAGAATCTTTCTTCCAACCTAGTTGTAATAAACCCTTCCTTACATTCCCCAAACACACACCCAATGGGGTAAAATCAGCCAGAATTTTATAATTTCCTTAGTGGGGACTCTCTTTGCTGACAGAGATCCTGAGCACTAATAGAAAGAAAATTTCATAAGTTTCTATAGCCTGAACCATTCATCCCTAGGTAGCCAACCATCTAAGATGAGTCTCTCTGGACCTAGTTGAGTCCTCAGATGACACCCATTCCTGGGCTCATATTTGAAGCTGCACCAAGGTGGGAGGAATTGCCAGATGTTCCTCTCCACTGGCATAGCCCTCAAGAGCTCAAGGTCACCTCTGGGTTATAAGGAGCTATTAGAAGAGTACTTTAGAGGAGGATGTTAATAGACATCAACTCCACCTTCTAGGTTATGTATTTGCCTTCTGAGAGGAGCCTTTTATAGACAATGTCAATCAATTAATCAATAACAAGCAAGCACTTATTAATCCCCTCCTGTGTTCTGGACACTGTTCCAGGCTTTGGGGATACAAATACTAGAGAGATAGTCCTTGTTCTCATTATACTGTGCAGAGACTATGGGGTAGAGCTTGACTAAGGGTAGCCTGTGCCAGGTAAATTGCAGGATAAAATTGATGAATTCCATCAAATTAACTTGATAGCAACCAAAGGCCAGAAAGTTAGCTCCAAATGGAAGACTGTCTTCTGTAAAGAGGAGGCAAGTCCTACTTATTCACAAGCAAGACACCCTACTTTGTTTTCTCTTTATTCCAGGGCAAAATCACTTTCCCCAATGGCTACTTTCTAAAGGCTTCCTTCAGTACTGGGGTCGGTAAGGGCTTCCATACCCAGGGTGTCCTGGAGACAACTGCTCACCCTCTAGATCCCATGCATACCTGTAAACGGTGAGAACCCAGCTCTTCTTCTTCCATAGCCCTACCCCATGCCCAAATCTTTGCATCTCATTTGAATATAGACAGGGGATTGCTCTTTTGTCTCTTGAATCAAGGGAAGTAGGCCTGACCTGAAGGTTCTAATGGGTTCCACTAGGTAGATGAAAGAATATAGAGAAGCAAGTAGGTGGTCCCATAGTTTATGGAGCACCAGGCCTGCAGTCAGGAAGACTCATGTTCCTGAGTTCAAATCTGGCCTCAGACACTTACTAGCTGTGTGATCCTGGGCAAGTCACTTAGCCCTGTTTGCCTTAGTTTCCTTATCTGTAAAATGAGCTGGAGAAGGAAAAGGAAAGCTACTCCTGTATCTTTGCCAAGAAAACCCCAAATGGGGTCATGAAGAGTCAGATCCAGCTGAAACAACTGAACAACAGCATAATACATCCAAAGAACATAAAAGTGTTAAATCTGGAAGGGCCTTCCAGAACACAGAATATCTTGTGACCTAGAAGGGACTAGACCATTATAGCAATAAGGGACCTTAGGCCATGACCATAGAATCTCAGAACTTAAAGGAGCCTTAGGAAAAAAAGAAGTCAGAGCTTAGGATATAAAACATAAAATGTTACTGTGAGAACTGATCTTAGAACATACATTGTAAATGCTGCAAGGAACCTTAGGATTCATCTTGTGTTGTAGATTACAGTGCCACCTTTGTTGTTAAAGCCTAGGAAGCAAATCCAGCATGGGTCATTTATTGTGCACTTTGGGGCCCCTCAGTTGGTTTGCTTCTCCTTATTTACATTTCCCTACTCCAAAATTCCTTCCCCAGTTTGGTTCAGGTCCTTAATAGTAGAGGTGAGCAAAGAGGGGCCTGGGAGCAGTAGAGGAGCCCAGGGGAGCCCATTTGTTCCTAGCTCCATGCTTCCTTCCTCTCCGTTCCCCTCTCTTCTCACACAACATGATCATATTGACTGCCAAATACTCGACCTTGCCCTAAAATGAGCTGCTGGTTCATTGCTCTTACAGTTAACTGGGGCTATTGGGAGTAGGACTGGGACCACCCTGGCCTGCACGTTTAGGAATGGTAGCTCGTGCTCCCAATTGCTGGGCTCTCACTTAGGGGGTTCTCTAGATGGGGAGGGGTAGCTGTGGCCAGAGGAGTCAACTCTATCCCAGATGCACAGCAAGTCACAGATCAAAGGGACCCAGGACGAGTGGGGTGAGCGATCCCTAGGGACATAGTGTGACTCTTTGCCTCTTCTTTCTGCCCTCTCTCTTCTTCCCCTCCTTGCCTTCTTTTGTGTATCTCCACCAGTCTTTATTCTTTTTATCTTTGCCCTGTTCCATTCTCTCTTTTCAGCTACTCCTTGGCTACCCAAATACTCAGGGATACTTAGTAATCCAATTGCCTAGGACATTATTCTTTTCCTGGTTTCCTCTATTTGTTCCTCTCTGCTGGTCCTCCTCTCCTTTGCCATTCCTTTTCCATGGCCCTCCCAGAGCCATGACCCCTCCTGGCATGTGCCGTGGCTGGCTTCCATTACTTGAGGAGTGGGTGATGGGGAAGGGAGGAGAGCTGACAAGTTTGGGGATGGGCGGCACTAATAGGTGTGAGGCTGGGTCAAGTGAGCCAGACCCTCTCTCTCCCTGTCTCCAGCCAGCTGGGGCTAGAGGCCTTTCCTGTGGAGAGCCGATGGCAAGGCATCTACCAGCAGTTCCGGGAGTTCATCCACTCTAACTGTCCAGAGGATGCTCAAGAGGCTTTCTTGGGCTTTCATGTCCAGACAGCCAAGGAGCTCCGGAAATCCCAGGAGTATCTCTTCTGTGACAGGTAAGGGCGAGCGAGGCCACCCCCGAGGTGAGGACAGAGGACCACAGGTCAGCTTCCCCTTCCTAATATCACTCATGGACAGACAGATGGATGGATGGATGGATGGATGGATGGATGGATGGATGGATGGATGGGAAAGCTATATCTCTCACCCGGTCACCCTAATTCCACTTTATTTACCAAGGCCTTCTGTGGGCCCAGTCTTGCGCTGGGCTCTGAGAAGGAGTAGGAAAAGGTCCCTAGTCCGAGGGGGGAGACAAGGCCAGGAAGTGGGGCCCCTCTCCTTAGGATGATGAATTCCATGAGATGTTTTGGTGTCTTCTGGGACCCAGAAGTAACCCGGATGAAGTTTCAGCAAAGATCAAGGACGTACTTGCAGAACTGCCAACACACCAGGATCCAGAGTCACTCCAACTCTACCTACAGAAAGTAATGGCAGATGGGGGGGAGGGAGGGGGACTGTGCCTCTGGCAGGTTTCTTCCCCAGCTCCCAGGCAGCTGCCCATGGGGAATGTGAATAACAACCACACATGGGCTTTGGTTTATGCCTTTCAAAGCAGACTGGTATTGTGGAAAGAGCCCTGGACTTAGAGCCAAAGATACAGTGGGTTCACATTTGGTTTTGGCTTTTTATTAGTGCTGTGACCATAGGCAGGCCATACAACATTTCTGAGCCTCAGTTTCCTCATCTGTAAAATATCTAATCCCTGTTGTGAAGAATAGGTGGTAGGATCAGAAGAGCTAATGCATGAAAAACATTTTGGAAACCCTAAAGTTCTATGTAGAATGTTGGTAACTTTATTATCATTAATGCTTGGCTTGGTCCTCAGTATGAGGCAGGCTGAGCAGAGGTTATCACTCTCATTTTACATATGAGAAAGTTGAGGTGCAGAATGGAAGACTAAAGGCTCAGGCCCTAAGCTTGAGGCCGCCATGAGCTTTGCCCATTTCCTGAGGCTTCAGATACTTGGAAACAGTCTAGGGGATCTTTTGCCTTTGGCCCTCAGAGCTTTTACCTTTTTTTTTTTTAACTATTTTTTAAATCTTCCTTGGTTTTTGAACTCCCAACTTGCCTTTCCTACTCTTAGGCCAGTATGAATGAATGAATGAATGAATGAATGAATGAATGGTTATCCATCCATCTATCCATTCATTCATCCATCCCTCCTGCATTTCCTGCTCTTGGCCCTGTACAAATGACTGAAAATTTTCATTGGTTCATGTATTCATCCTTCCCTTCCTATTCTTGCTCCAGCAGAGAAAGTAAATACCTTGGAGTTGGGAGACAGAGAGTAAGGACAGGTGGTGGCCTTCCCTTTCCCCATTCTTCCTGCTGTTCCATCAGGACATTTAGGGTTGCCTCATTAGTAAGAAGAGGAAGGGGATGAAAGATAGAAGATATGGGGTTTGCCAGCCCTAGAGATGTCTTGCAGAGTGGTTGAGTGATGGACACAGCACTCTTGTGTGGATTGATTGGGAGCTGGCCAGGGTAGGCAGGGAAGAGACCTGGGGCAGCCTGGTCTTCAGAGTTTAGTCCTGGGTATTCTTACTCCTTTGGTTTGGTGGTGGTGTTGGGAGGGGGTTCAGGGAGAGACTATCCCACCAATAAGCCGAGGAGCACGCAATGGTAAAAGTTTGCTCCCTTCCCTACAGAAGGGTGACCTGGGGCCCTTAGCACCTGGATCCTGAGCCTGCTTGACTCTCTAAGCTTAGAGATGTGCTGCCACATCTAATCCCCAGCTCTCTGCCCTGTAACTGGGTAGTCTGTTTTCCCTTTCCCTTCTCCCTTCTGTTGTCTTACACCCCATACCTAGGTTTTGTTTACAAGGCAGATGTAGCAGCATAGTGATTGGTCTCAAAGGTCACACATAATGCTCGTGGGACCTTTGGCAAATTACTTCACCTCATAGTGTCCTGGGCAGTTCTCTAGGGGAAAAAAATATTGCTAGAGGAAAACTCAGACTCAGAGTCCATTCTCATGAAAGAAAACTATTCTGGGCACTGTCACCTAACTGTCACACAGTGATTTTATAGCAGAGCTGAGACTCAACTCAGTTCTGCTACCTCGTCTCCACTCTTCCATCCTCTCCTCAGTCTAGAACACTGAGCAGAAGTCAGGACACTCTTTCTATGTTTTAAGTTCCTCCTGAATTCTGACTTTTTGCGTTCTGTGTTCTAAGGTCCTTCTAATCCTGACATCCTGTATTCTAGGTCCCACCTATCTTTCATGTTCAATGTTTTGTTTTACAAGACCCCTTCTAATCTTGACATTCAAAGTCCCTGTGTTCTAGGGTCTCTTTTACCCCTGACATTCCATATTCTGTGATCTTAGGTTCCTTCCCAATCCTGACATTGTAGGGTTCCAAAGTCCCTTCCAGCCCAAAGTCCTATATCCAATGTCCTAAGGAGTCTCTCTGTCTTGATATTCTTTGTTGGTGGGTCCTTCCAGCTCTTGTATTGTATAGAACAGGGGTTCTTACCAGAAGTCCGCATGGATAGATTTCAGTGGGTTCCTTTTGATGGGGGAAAAATTATCTGTATTTTCACTAATATCTAACTGAAATTTTGTTTTTCCTTCAGTTATTTAAAAACATTAATCTGGGAAGGGGCCCACAGACTTCACCAGACTTCTATAGGGGGTCCATGACACAAATAAGGTTTAGAACCCCTGGCATAGAGGATGGGTATCTGTTTCTTTGTGCTCCTGCTTTCTTTATAAAGAACAAATGGAGATACTCAACAGTGCCCAGACTTATTCCCTAGGGCACCTAGGGATGCCCTAAAGGTCTGATGACCTATAGGAAGTGGGACAGGCCATGAGTGATAAAGGGCAGTGTTCAGATTTTGTGATTCTCTGAGGGAGTGCAGAACCTTCCCCTTCCCGTGCAGGCCCTGAAATCTTCTGCACACCCTCTGGGGAAGCTGGTGAAGTTGCTGACGCTGGCCTTCCAGGCCACCTACTCGGGCTTCGGGGCCAACAAACACCTGCTGGGCCTGGCGCAGGAGGAGGTCAAACATCACGCCCAGGAGATCTGGGCTTTCTATCAGTAAGTTGGCAGCGGCTTCTCAGATGACTTCTGGATACCTTCTAACTCAAGATTTTACGGCTCTTGAGATTCTAAGAGGAGAGTGTGGACAAACGGCTTCTTTTCTTATCCGTTTGTAGGGGACTGCTGCGAGTAGCCTTGGAGCGGCAGGGTCAGATTCAGGAGGAGAGGGAAGACACAAGTGAAAGGTAATCTTGGTGTGTCTGAGTTGGCTGTCCTGGGTTTGACTTCCAGGAGCCCAATCCAACCCACTCTACTTTCTGCTCCTCAGCGATTAGGTTTCCTGTATGCAGCTGACTTAGGCCTTAGGTTCTCCCTCCCAGAGAAGCATAGCAGAAGAAGCCAAGGGCTGAGTGTTCCAAGACTTGTGTCCAAATCTCAGTTCCTCTAACCATGGGACCCTTTAGTTCCCCCCACTATAAGACAAAGGGGTTGGACTAGTTTTGAGGCTGGCAAACTAGTGCTGACTGCCTGGCTTTTTTTCCCCCCAGTGTAAATACCATCCAGGCATGGTGGCTGGGTTGTATTTTGTGGACCTAGACCTGGGTGGCCTGGGGCTGTATTTTGTGGACCCCTGGACTGGTTGTTCTGTAAATTTCTCCAGCTTTAAACCCTATGATTCTAATCTCACCTTCTGGACCTTACCTCCAGAGGAGAGGTCTTTGGGATAGGATTACAGGGAGAATGAGAGTGCTACACTCTGTCTTGGTGAGGCAGAGAAGGTTGGGTACCATTCCTTAAAGTGAGGTCTGTGGATTCCAAGAATTTAGGCTTCACTGAGGGCTGGTCACATTGAATATGTGTATTCTTGCCTTTGCTCCAAGATTGTCCATGTCATTCTTACTGTATTTTTGTACCATTCCTGAATTCTCACCTTTACAAATGGAGAACCGAGACCTGGGGAAGAGGGGCGACTTGTAAAGGGTGAAATGAGGAAATTAGATGAGGCTAAAGAGAAATGCGGCATTGGTAATGACAAAGGGATGTTTAATTAAAATGAAAAAGATGACAGATCCATGGTAGCTTTGGTGCTCTGGCCTGGGTCATTCAATACCTAACAAACAATAATTAAGCACCCACTGTGTGCAGAGGACTGAGATACAAAGTTAGATAAGTCTAGTACAGAGGTTGTTAAACTTTTTGGTGTCAGGACCCCATTAGACTCTTAAAAATTAGTGAAGCTCCTCCCAAAGAGCTTTTGTTTATGTGGGTTATATCTATCAATATTTATCACCTTAGAAATTAAAACTGATAAAAGTTTAAAATACATATTAATTCATTAAAATAATAATAGCTCCATTATGTTAACAGATCTTCATGAAAAATGTTTTCTTTTTTTTGAAATATATTTTCTAAGACAAAATATTTAATGAGAAGAGTGGCATTGTTTTGCATATATATATTTTTTTGGCTAGGCAATGCGGTTAAGTGACTTGCCCAGGGTCATACAGCTAGTAAGTGTTATGTGTCTGAGGCTGGATTTGAACTCAGGTCCTCGTGAATCCAGGGCCGGTGCTCTATCCTCTGCGCCATCTAGCTGCCCGTTTTGCATATTTTTTACACATTTTAAAAGAGATCCTTAATGTCTGGCTTAACAGAAGACAGCCAGATGATCATATATACTTCTATACCCAACCTGTTGTGATATGTTGTCTTGGTTGAAGTATATGAAGAAAATCTAGCCTCACACAGATAAGTAGCTGGAAAAAAGAGGAGGATTTTAATAGATAATATTTATGAAAATTATTTTGAAAATAGTTGTGACATCTCAGACCCCCTTGAAAGGGTCTCAGGGATCCTCAGACCTCACTTTGAGAGCCCACTGTAGGAGATTTTAAAATTCAGTTAAACAAACCACAATTAAGTGCCTATTTCATGTAGAGCACATATGAAATTTAGGAATCCTTACCTTTGTGGTCCTCACAATCTTGATAGAGGTATAAGGCATTTGATTCAATTCAATTGAACTCAATCCAATTAATTTCCTAGGATCAAGAATCAGAAATCTAGCACAACCCCTTTGTATTACAGGTGAGGAAACCGAGGCCCAGTAAGCGTAAATGATTCGTGATTTAAACCAAGCCTTCTGATTCCAAACTTTTTCTTTCCTTCCTTCCTTCCTTCCTTCCTTCCTTCCTTCCTTCCTTCCTTCCTTCCTTCCTTCCTTCCTTCCTTCCTTCCTTCCTTCCTTCCTTTCTTTCTTTCTTTCTTTCTTCTTTCTTTCTTTCTTTCTTTCTTTCTTTCTTTCTTTCTTTCTTTCTTTCTTTTTTACCTCAACAAGCATATATTCAGTGCCTATTTTGTGTATAGTCCTGTCTCTGTGAGAGAGTTTAGGTAAGATATAGTAGGGGGTCAAGATATAAACACAAAGATCAAATGAGATAATGTTTATAAAACATTTTGCAAACCTTAAAATGCTATCTAAAAGTCTTCTTAGTAATAATAAAATTGTAAATTAGTAATAAAATAATAGCAAGCATTTATATAGGGTTTACTATGTGCCAGGCACCGTGCTAAGTGCTTTACAACTATCACCTCATTTTATCCTCACCACAACCATGGGTGGTAGGTGCTATTGTCAACCCATTTTACAGTTGGGGAAAATGAGGCAGACATCGATTAAGTGGCTTACTTAAAGTGATACAACGTAAGGGTCTGAGGTTGGATTTGAACTCAGGTGTTCCTAACTCAGGCCCCAATGGTTTGTAATAATAATTGCTAACACATGTATAGTGCCTGCCTTGTGCCAAGCACTCTGGTAAATGCTTTATAATTATTACCTTATTTGATCCTCACAACAACCCTGGGAGATAGGTGCTACTGTCATCCCCATTTTACAGTTGAGGAAAGTGAGGCAGACAGATTGAGTGACTTGCTCAAAGTGATACAGGTAGTAAGGTCTGAGGCCACATTTGAACTTGTGCCTCCACTGAGGCACCTAGCTTTAGAACAAAATATATGACAAACACTTAACCTTAACATACTTAAATACTTGAAATACTTAAATACTTAAAATACTAACCTTAAAAACTTATCTAAAGTCTCTGATTAATACTAGTAACGGTAATAAACAAATAGTTTTGGAACAAAGTATATGACAAGTGCAAACCAGATCCTAAATGCAGTAGGGCAGGGAAGATGAGGACACCAGCAGCAGGGTGGGGAAAAACCTGGGGAAGTCACTATGTCAGCTCATCGTGAGTAGGGATTGTTTGACTCTTTGTGCTTGTCACCTCAGTGTCTGGCCCAGGGCCTGCCATGTAGTAGGTGCTTAATAAATGCCTGTCAATGTAGCCATTGCTACATACCTAGAAGGCTGGCCAAAACTACTGATCAATGGGACAGAACTTACAGCTTTCTTGCTAAGTCCAAGGCTTAGCTACCGTCCTCATGTGGAAGTCCGGCTCCCTGTTAAGACCCCTTCCTTTTCATCCTTTCTTTGCGGGAAAGGAAAGCACATCACAGACTGAAACATTTTCACATAGGAGATCCCAGAGTTGTACATCTTGAGCTGGAAAGGTCAGTGAAACCCCTTATTTTATAGATGATGAAAATAAGGCCCACAGAGTTCAGTGACATCCCATAGGTAGTAAACTTCTGAAGTGAGATTTGAACCCAGGCCTTTGGACTCCAGAGACAGTGCATTTTCCATTGTACCCCATGGTTCAGGAACCTCTTGCCCCTTCCTCCCCACACTGAGCCATCTGAATAGGGACATGGAACATGGTGGAGAGAGAAGATCCTTGGGCTGTCCTGAGGTCTTAATGAAGTCTCCTGTTCCATTAGTGACTGACTCGCTCTGACCTGAGAAACATAGATTTAGAGCTGGCTGGGGCTTCAGAATCCCCCTGACCCTCTTCTCTCAGGGCTTAAGGCTCCTTTTCTGGTAAAAGTAGAGAATAAAGATCCCTTTTCTTGCTCACTCTGGTATTAGGAAGATCATATAAGACAATGCTTGTCAAACTGTTTTGGAAAGTTTAAAATGTGATACATTTATTTTGGAGGTGGTTCAAGTGAGAAAGGCTGAGCTCCCTCCCAACAGTTGTCTTATTGAGGGGATACCTGTGGCCTTGGCCTTATTGGGGCAACTGGTGGCACAGTGGATAGAGTGCTGGGTCTGGAGTCAGGAAGACTATCTTCCCGAGTTCAAATCTCCCCTCAGACACTGGTTGTGTGACCCTGGGCAAGTCACCTAACCCTGTTGGCCTTAATTTCCTCATGTGTAAAATAAGCTGGAGAAGGAAATGGCAAACCACTCCAGTATCTCTGCCAAGAAAACCCCGAATGGGGTCACGAGGAGTCGGACACACCCAAAGAACAACGTGACCCTGCTCTTACTGGCAGGGAGGCCGTGCAGACACACACCCAGTAACTCTTCCTTTCTCCCTCCCACAGTCACCCTGAGGCCTACAGGCTGGTCCTGCCAATCATCCTGCCCTGCTTCTATCCGGAGCTCTTTATGCTGTACATGTTGTACCACGAGAAAGAAGACAACCTCTACAGCCAGGGCATAGCCGACCTGAGTCTGTTCCCAGACACCAAGCTGCTGGAATGCCTGGATGTGCAGAGGTGAGTGCAGTCCCCTAGGTTCTGGCTCCTTTCTATCCCAGATCCCAAAGGAACCCTTCTGGGTTCCTTTCTCTGGGTCTCCTTTCTGGCCTCCATTCTCTCTCCCTCCCTCTAGAGCAGAACCACTCTTTCTCCTCAAAGCCCTTTACATATTTTTATTGATTCTTCAGAGAAAAGAGTTGCTTGGAGTATGGATTAACTATCTACCTCCATTTCTTTTCTTTTTTTAAATTTTTTTATTAATTTATTTTTAGTTTTCAACAATCACTTCCATATATTTGAGTTTTACATTTTTCTCCCCCTCCCTTCCCAACTCTCTCCCCAAGACAGCATGCAATCTGATATAGGCTCTATATATACATTCCTATTAAACACATTTTCACATTAGTGATATTGTAAAGAAGAGTTAGAACCAATAGGAGGAACCACAAGAAAGAAGAAACAAAATAGAAGGAAAAAAAAGAGCAAATAGTAGGCTTCCCTCTGCATTCAAACTCCATAGTTCTTTCTTTGGATGTGGATAGCATTTTCCATCATGAGACTTTTGGAGATGTCTTAGATCTTGCACTGCTGAGAAGTGCTAAGTCTATCAAAGTTAGTCATCGAACAGTGTGCTGTTACTGTGTACAACGTTCTCCTGGTTCTACTCACTTCACTCAGCATCAGTCCACACAAGTCTTTCCAGGTTTTTCTGAAGTCAGCCTGTTCATCATTTCTTATAGCACGACAGTATTCCATTACATTCATATACCACAACTCGTTCAGCCGTTCCACAATTAACGGGCATCCTCAATTTCCAATTCTTTGTCACCACCAAAAGAGCTGCTATAAATATTTTTGTACATGTGGGTCCTTTTCCCATTTTTATGATCTCTCTGGGATATAGCCCTAGAAGTGCTATTGCTGGGCTGAAGGGTATGCACATTTTTATGGCCCTTGGGCATAATTCCAAACTGCCCTCCAAAATGGCTGGATCACTACCTCCATTTTTTGGTGCCAGCCACGGAGGTTACAAAGGGTAACCGCCACTGGTGCACAGAAAAGCCATGCCATCTGATACACCCTGGCCATTGCTTTCAGTGAATGTTAGACAGTCTTCCCCACGCCCAGCAGAGACTTCTTCGGTCTTTTCACAGGGCACTAATTTAACCTGTATTCAGAAAGAGGTGCTCCAAATAACCAGATAATATTTATTATCATAGATTTAGAACTGGCAGGCTCTTTGGAGGGCATCCAGTCCAACCCTATCATTTTACAGATGAGGAAACTGAGTCTAGAGAGGTTAGCTTACCTATAAAGGGGAAGAACAAGGATGTGAACCCAGGCACTCTCCCAACCCAGGGCTCTCTTCTACTGTATAATGGTGCCACTTACATGTTGGCAATGTTTATGGGAGCTGTCCCTGGCCTGACTGCAGTTTTCCTCTCCTGTACAGTCCACCCTATCTTGCACCTTTCTATCACTGGCTTCCTTGTGGACACACTGCTTTTATTATTATAGTAATTGGAATCACCACATTATCCCCCATGGGCATGGACTGTGAGTGTACTTTTACCTGTTCCCCTTGCACCTAAGACAGGGCTGTCATAGAGCAAGAGAGGGACAGTGTCAAAGAAAAAAAAATAATGTTAATGCAGTCTACAATTTAGTTTGCCAGAAGCAATTTTATTGAATGCAACATTAATTTATATTCAAACTATTTCTAGCTTTATTGAATTTAATATATTCAAACTATTTCTAGCTTTATTGAATTTAACATTAATTTATATTCAAACTATTTCTAGCTTGGAGACATGTTCAGACTGGGATAGTTCCCCATGTTCTCCGACATGATTCTCTGCCAGGAAGATTTTAGGCAACATTTATAGGAATCTTGAGCAAAGGAGAGATCATAATATGTTAAAGTGTAGTTTGGGGGTTAACCTTCTAAAACTGGCCAGTTCCTTTTTGGACTCTTCCTCCTAAGGAATTCCTTCCTTTGATCAAAATCTTAACCTTGAATTCCCAAAGAGAAGACACAGTCCTTACATGGGGCAAGAGGCCAATCATTCAAAGGAGAGGGGGGACAGCTCAGTGATCCTATCTAGACCAGAGTTGTGTTCAGTTATCATTCTTACTGAATTTCAAAAGGTCTCAGCCTTTGTGCTTCCCATTTGCCTAAAGGGACAAATCTGGAGAGGCTGGAGAAATATTTCTTGAGAAACTGAAAACGAATCTTTGTTTTCTTTCATTTAAAATATGGTTCCTCAACAGTTTGCTACAGACTGATGGGCTTAAGCCAAAGATGTAGGGCTGCAGCTGGTCAAAATCATTGAGAATACATAATCTGGGATAGACAGGGACCACAGGAGGTCATTTATTGGGTCCATCTCCCTCTGGAGGAGTTCCCCATTGAAATCATCACAGATAAGATAAACATCTAACCAGTGTTTAAATGCCACAAGCTGAAGACACAAGGTATTACAAATGGGTAAGCTGCAGGCCAGGAATCAGGAGACCTGGCTGGGTTCAGCTATTCTACTAGTTCACTGTCTACTTCACAATAATGACAACAACTAGGGTTTACACAACATTTTAAGGTTTACAAATTACTTTACACGTTAGTTCATTTAATCCTCACAACAATCTAAGTTGTATTATTATCCTCATTTTATAGATGAGGAAACTGAGGCAGACAGAGGTTATCCACAGCTAGTAAGCATCTTCAGGTTAGATTTGAACTCAGGTCTATCCTGATTCCTGGTTCAAGGTTGTATCCAATGTGCCACAGGATGCTTTAGCAGGGAGTGGCGAGAGCTGGGGAATCTGGGTTTTTAATCCTCTGCTCCTTACTATTTATGCAACTTTGGGCAGATCTGGTCTTTTGTGCCTTACTTAGGAGGAGAGGCTTATACAAGATACCTCTGAGGTCCTTTCTAACCCGAAACCTGTGATCTCAGACTTCTCTCTGGGCCTCAGTTTTTTTATCTGTCCAATGAGGTTGAAGCCTACATATTACTATTTATATTGTATCAGAAGTAATTTGTGGTCAACAATTAAATATAAATAAGGTGGGTGTATCGGGAGGGGATCACATAGTACAATGAGGGGATGTTGGTGGAGATGATCTCTACTGGCCTTCTCAGCTCTGGTGAGAAGAATATTTTACGGCTTATTTTGGCAAAATGCTTGATGATATAACCAGCCCTAAGGGTCAGGAAATTCTGAGCCCGTTTCCTCCTGCTCAGTCCTAAAAACCCATTCCTCTTGTTCCAGGCACCTCTGGCCTCTCAAGGACCTCACACTGACAACCAACCAGGTGAGAGGACTGCCTTCCCAGGCACCCAGCTAACTTTTGGCAGGATACCTGATTGGTATGGGGTAGGGTGGGGAGCAGTAAGAGACAGCGTGAGGGGTGAGAAGGTTCTATTGAAGTCACTGGCATCATCAAGGAAGGCTTCCTAGAGGGTGCAGATATTGTGTAAAAGTTAGGAGAGTCAGGTTTAAAAAAGAATAGAGAGGAAAGCAGCAAGAATTTTTTGGGGGTAGATGGACCATTCAGTGAAAATAAAACATAGTAGGTATGAAAAAGACTTGCGTTGTCTAGATTGGAGAAGCAGCATGATGTAATAGAATGGGCACTGGGTGAGACTTGGACTGTAGTCCTGACTCATCCACTTATTAGCTATGGATCCTTGGGCAAGTCACTACTTTGACTCGTTTCCTCCGCTTTAAAATGAATGTGTCGGATTGAGGGGAAGTTGCTGCCTAGAGGCCACATGTGGCCTTCTAGGTCCTTGGATGCAGCCTTTTGACTTGAGTCCAAGTTTTACAGAACAAATCCTTTTACTAAGGGGATGTATTTAATGCAGGTAATAACACGGATTAGTTCTGTGAAGTTTGGATTCAAAGACTGCACTTGAGGACTCAGAGGGCTGCATGTGGTCTTGAGGACCCAGGTTTCCCACCCCTGAATTAGGTGATCTCCAAAATCCTTTTCAGCTGTCACATGCTGGGATAAGTTATGATGAGAGAATGTGGGCCTTTAGATGAAGTTGGATCTGACTGCTTCTGGGGCATAGGATTGATAATGAGTCTTCAATGGCCCAAGTATAGGCTGGGGATCAAGGGGGCAATTAGGGCTAGGAGAATGTTGAAGGGCTGAGGATCATCAGGATGGAGGGATTTGGTTGCTAGGCTGGCCTTGTGGAGGGGCTGAGGCAGGGGGGAGATGACTGGGTAGGGAGTCTCAGTGTGATTTTGGCTCTTGCTGTCCCCTTGCAGAGATACTCCCTGGTTAGAGACAAGTGCTTCCTCTCTGCCACCGAGTGCCTGCAGAAGATCATGTAAGTCACCCTTTCAGGGTCAACCACCCCATATGGGAACTGGGTGGGCTTCCTTCCCCTCTCATTGGAGGGGGGCAGAATATCCCCCTTTCATTCCCACCCACAGTTGGAGACCATGCCCTTATCCTATTCAGGCAGGTAGCAGCCTGCTGTGCTAACCCCATGCATGCCAGTGAATAGTCAGCCTCGACTTGAAACCTTAATGCCTCCATCTTGCCATCATTTATGCAGATGCTCCCTCCACGATTTTGCTCTGGTCTTCAATTTTTTAAAAAACTTTTATCAAGTGATTCTGAACTGCTTTTTAAGTGGATGTACAAGACATCAATATCTGGCCCCAGTGGCTCCCAATTCACTCATTCATGTGATTTGGCAATCAAATAAGAGATGGGTCCATCAAAGTTCCCTCCCCCGCATACTGAAGACAAACTCCTCAGCCAGCCTTCAACGCCCTTACGCATATAGCTTCCCCTATGCCAAGTGGTTCTAGTCTACTCTACCAAACTACATTCCTTCAGCAATATAACCTGATCACTCTGCGTTTTTGTAGTCTACACTGTTAGGTACATGGGCCATTCCCTGCATGGGATCTCTGCTCCTTCTCTCTACAAGTGTGTCCCTTCTGTCTTTACAAATCCAACTCACAGTCTGTTTCCACCAGAAAGTCCTCCTGGATTTACTCTGGCAGGCTCCACTCCCTCCTGCCTCCCTTTAGTTTTAATGCATGTAGCTCTATTCAGCTAATGCTATTCTGAACTTGGCCTATGTGTTTTTTAATGTATGTTTCCACACTGATTCCTGACTTACCCTGGGGACACTTCAGTACAAGGACTGAGTATTTTCCATTAGACTAGGGGCTTCTTAAGGGGTGGGTCTTCTTTCAGACTGGAGGGGATCCTTGAGGGCAGAGACTATCTCCCATCAGACTGGGGGGTGGAGGAGAAATTCATTCCAGATCGAAGCTTCTCTTTCCCTTTCACTTCTCTCTCCACCCCCAAAGTCTGGTCAGGCTTAAGACATCGTTCTCCATGAAGGAAGACTTACCGATGAGATGACCTTAGTCTGTTCTGTCCTTCCCTAGGAGACAAAATGAAGTCAGGAGACCAGGTTTCAAACCCTGACTCTGACACTAGCTTTGTGATCCCAAGTGAACTGACCTCTCTGACCCTGTTTCTTCACTGATAAATGGAGGCAGTTGATATTTGCACTACCTACTTCACAAGTCTGTTGTGAAGATAAGAGTTTTCTCATTTTTAAAGCCCTGTATAAATGAGATCTATTCCTACTACCTCTCCACAACAGCACTACTGTGGATCCCCGGGAGAAGCTGGAGATGCTTGAAAAGACCTATGTTGAGATTGAGAACACAGTTTCCCGGGTTCTGGAGAGGGAACATAAACTTCCTATGGATGACCTGCTGCCCTTACTCATCTATGTTGTGTCCCGGGCCCGGTAAGCCAACTCTTAGCTAGGGGACGGCAGAAGGTTGGCACAGACTGGATGTACAGGGGTTCATGAATGGGTCCCTTTTGTCCTATTCAGCTGGCTGGGGTCGGGGGGAGCTCTTCTTAGGGCAGGGCGGACTACAGGATGCCAGTAGTGATATCATAAACCATTCCCCTGTGCCATTCCAAAAGTAGGGCTTAAAAGGTTTCTGGGTATGTCTCCTAGGATCCAGCACCTGGGAGCAGAAATCCATCTGATCAGGGACATGATGGACCCCATCCACAGAGGAGGACTGTATGATTTCCTACTGACAGCCCTGGAGGTGAGGTAGCCAGGGAAGGGGAAGAAAGGGCATTGGTTTCTTTCTGGGAACAGGTCTAATTTGTTAACAGAATCAGGCCAGGACTGGAAGGGACCTTAGAAATAATGTAGCTTCCCCACTTCCCTCTACCTTCGGCCCTCCTCTCCTTTTCAACAGGGTAGAAAGAAATAATATGTTGAGGTCATAATGCAAGTTTGTAGAAATCCCACTACATGATGCCGCCTTCCACCTGTATAGCAGTCTTTTCTGCTCTCTGGGTCAGTTGTCAGGCTGCTCTAAGATGGGCATCTAGCCATGGCAGGGGGGTAAACTGAACTATCCACAAAGTGACTCAAACTTTGCAAACTCTGGTTGTTCAATAAATGTCCATTTAAATGAGTTTCTGCTCTCTCCTCCTTTCTCTTTGAACTGTGGCGTGTGTTTGCAAGGTCATGTTAGGGAATCCTTGGTCTTCTGGTTTGGGGGTAGTCTTCCCATTTATAGTTTTTGGAAAGGAGGCTTCCTGCAATCTCACAATTAACGAATGTTAGTAATTGGGCCCCTCTAGGTACATGTCAGAATAGACGATATAGTGGCGGGAGAGGGGAGGGGGATACAGAGGCAGCTTCCAAGTCAGGAAGACCCAGGCTCTAATATCACCTGACACATGCTGGCCGTGTGCCCATAGGCACACACTCTCAGTGCTCCTGGCAACTATCTAAGGCTGTACGTTGGCAGGAAAGATGCCAGGCTATACTGGTAGGAGTTTCTTGATTAAGGAGTGCCCTACACCAATGAAATCACCGGTTTAGTTCCTATCCCTGCCCTCATGCCCTACTCAAACATAGGCATCTGGACTCCCAAGTCCAGTGCTTTCTCCACCATGCTTAGAAGCAGCCTGGTATAATGGAAAAATTGGGCCTTAGGCTGTGCTAGATGCTAATACCCATTCCAGCTCTGGCACTGGATGGTCAACCCCCTTGGGGGTTGAGGTTTGATGTTTCCTCTTGGTGCCTGATTACTCACTGTTTTTTCTCTCTCTGACCCAGTCCTGTTACGAGCACATCCAGAAGGAGGACATGCGGCTTCACCGCTTGGCTGGAGTCCATAATCAGAAGGCTCTTTGGTAGCTCAACCCTTCCGGGCAATGTATGGCCTGGGCCTGGGCCTGGATCGGGTCAAAGGCCAAGGAAGGAGAAGCCGGCAGACGTATCCACACAGGGGGAGGGTAAAGCAATGTGCAGAGCATCACTGTGGCTCCAAGAAGCACACTCTGGTCTGTTCTTATCATCCCAGAGAAGGAGTTCTGGATACAAATGCCCGTTCCTCCTCCTCAGGGTGCTACTCCTCAGGAAATGGATCACCCCCTTCTCTGGCTATCTCACCTTCTTGTGTAGCTTACTCCTGCTAGACTCCCCAGCAGGCAGACAGGCAGGGTCTAGGGTCTTCCACTGGGCTAGGCTTCCCTGGTCCTTGCCTTGGGGAAGATGTTAAGGGGGAAATAATGTTGCACTTTAAATATTTTTTGAGTTTTTTAGAAATAGAAATCGAACATTTGCTACATACACAGTTACTGTGAGATGCCGTGGAGAATACTGAAATGTTTGTGCCGCAGCGTTTCCCTTCGAGGACCTTACACTGTGGAGACAGACAGCCTTAGAGGACTGGGTTCTCTGTGCCCAGGACCAGGACTGAGTGATCTGGGTGGGAATAACTGTCTTCATGTGTCCCACGTGCCCCTGCCCCTCCAGCCTTCTGCTTTTTCCCAAGGAGCCAAGGGAGGGAAAGGTGGAAAGCAGGACCCGAAAAGCAGAACTCCCGTGCCTTTCACTGTGCTCTACATGATGCTGTACCTTAGGAGGACCCAGCTATAATACAAGGGTGAACACAGGTGACAGAAGAAGGTCTGGGCAGCGACTATCTGGGAGTTGGCCGTAAAGGACGAGATCATGGAGTTCGGAGCGTACACACCAAGCTGTGGGAATAATCTTAACAATGATTCTCCACCCCATTTCCAAGCTGTAGCATTCTCAGCAGCCCTGATTATAAGAGCAGCTCTCATTCGTATGGGGCCTGTAGGTTGATAAAGCAGTACGATCAGCTCCATTTTACAGAGCTGGGACTTGAACTCGGGTCTCGTTTCCCACACGCAGTCCACTCTCATCATCGCTGCTCCACCACAACAGACAAAGATTCCTGTGAGTCCTGGGGCAGTTCTTCCTGGAGTGACGTGCAGCTGCCTGTCTGACAACACAGGGAGATCGCCAGGGGAGAAGCAAAGCTGCTGGAGCCTGTGGGGTGATTCCAGAAGAGAGAGGGTCAGAGGGTGAGCTGACGGGCAGGGGAGGAGCCGCTGCTGCTGCTGACTGCTTTGCTTCCCAGGGCGTCACCAGCATCGTCTCTGGTGCTGGCGTGTGATGGCTTTGGGGGAGCTCATGCAAGAGGTGGGGCTTCCTGGGCGCCTGGGATGGAGAGATGCTTTAGAACAGAGGTCAATAAACATCTGCTGGAAAAGCTTCTGAAGTTAGCTTCTTTTCTTTCTATCACATCAGATGGATCTCAGGGAGGTTGTGGGAATAGGAAATTACTTTTTATTTAAATTACGTTCCTAGTATCACAGACCCAGAGAACTAGAAGGGACCTTGGGCTCATCTAGTCCCATCACTTCATTTCACAGATGAGAAAGTTAGGTGACCTCCCCAAGGTCACATAGGTAGTAAAGGGCAGAGCTAGGTTTGAATTCCCAGTGAGTCCCAAGTTCAAGATCACCTTTGGGGCAAGGTGGAGTATACTGACGGACACCTTCTTGATGCTTAATTGTAAAGCATAACTAGAGAGAAGCATTTACTTTTTCCTTCAGGTTGTTGAACAGGTCCTCTGGGGGTGGCGAAAGTTCATCAGTCTCTAGTTTCTGGAAATCTGGGTTTGTGATCAAGGATGCTAACACATCAGCGATACGACTTAAATCAAAAGCTGCATGGTGGGGGCCCAGCCCAGGGCTGTCACTGCAAAGATCTCCCAAGGGTTTGGTCTCAGGAACTTTTTCTAGGATAGAAATTCTCTTTTCTGCTATGACTTTGAGGAAGTTATAAAACTCTTTGTAGTCAATTCCAGTGCATGATTTCATGATCACCTGAAGATCAGAAAGAAAAAGAAGTATTATGAGATTATTATGCTTTAAATGACACTTTCCAAAGTACTTTCTTCATTCAGTAAGTATTTCCTGAGCCCTCTTTGAGCACATACCCAACCTTCATTGGGAACCTCTGGGCTAGAAGCAGTTTCAGACAGAGTCCTTGGTCTCAAGTAGCTCACAGTTTAGTTGGAGAAAATTGCCACAAAAATGTAAGAAGTTGAACAACGCAATAACAAAAACCATGTAACATCCCAATGCAATGTTGATTAATGCCAAACAAGGAACAAAAATAATAAATAATCTGAGTTCAGAGGACGGATTGAGGGAGGGAGGGATCAATATGTTCTGTTGGTTAGGGAAGGCTTGATGGAGGAGGTGGAGTTTGCCTAGAAGAATGGCTAAGATTTGGAGAGGCAGAGAGGAGAACATCACAGACTTAAACAGCATGAGTAAAACGGGGGCCAGGTATATCTGCAGGGCAATGAGTACCTTTAGTCAGGCTAGAGTGGAGGGTCTGAACGCAAGATAATATGGTGCCATGTTGTAGAGGACCTTGAGCGCCAGGATGTGGATGTAAAAGGACAAAAAGTTCAAGCAGGAAGGGACCTTAGAATTCATCTAGCACAGGAGTGCTTAACCTGGGATTGATAGACCCAGATTTCAGAAGTTCCACAAACTTGGATGGGAAAAAAATTAAAACTTTATTTCAGTATAATGGCATCATCTGTAATCCTGTGTATTCAAAAACATTATTCTCAAAAGGGCTCCATAGGCTTTAACCAGGCTGCCTAGGGGGTTTGTGGTCTTAAACAAAAATGGTTAAGAATCTCTATCTAGTGTAACTGTCTCATGTGACAGAAAATTGAGGCCAAGAGAGTGAGTAAATTAATTTTCTAGGGTTGAAGAACTACTTGGTGACAGCTTCCCTGACATCTAGTCCACAGCTCTTTAAAATCGTGGCCATTTTAGTCATCACAGCTGCCCCAACTCTTCCCCACCTTAGTCTTTGCCTATGTGTCCTTGCTTCAACACACTTCAACCAGGTAATGAGGTCAGAGACTATCACCATCATGCCTGGACTTCAGAGGCTCCGATTTCCCCTAGCTGTCCTGGCCTAATAAATCCTTTTTTCTCAATGTACCAGAGACCGAGTTGGGGTTTTTACTAAGAAACTGAAATGAAAATGACAAAGGCAAGAGAAAAAGAGACAAAAACACAGACTGAATTATAAAGCACAGATCCTTATCTCAAGGCTAGTTTGGTTAGCACCATTTATCAGGCACAAGGCCCCTGTTCCCGCCTGTCACTTTAGCCTTCTCAGAGTTAGATGCAAGACAAAGTTTTTAAGACTCCTTCCCTCTATTGAGTGGTCTGTTTTTGCCCTGACAACTTCTAGGCATTACTGCTAGATGGTTGGGCTGGGGCCAACTTTCAGATACTTTTAGGAATGTACTCTTTCCAAGTCAGGCCCATCTTATAATCCAGTAATAGGCACTGAATCCAAGCTAACAAACATTAAGCACCTACCACGTGTAAAGCAGTAGGATTATGCCAGTCCTAGAGGGAAACTCAAAATACTCTGAGACCTGTGATCTCATTCGTTTGGCTGTTTCCTTCAATGATGCCGATGACAGCTATTTTTGTCCCAACTTGTGAGACTCTTGAGCATGATCTCCCTTTAAGTTCACCACAATTTACTCAATGTGCTGGAGGCCTTCCTTGATTCCTCCAGATCGTATCAGGATGTCAGCGGGGAACTCTGACTGTCCACTTGTCATCCCCTCATTTTTGGCCATGTGACTAACCCATCTTTCTATGATACATTTCCTTAATGACATTATTTACTACTGTTTTCCTTTGAAGTTCCTAATTAGTTACATGGTACAATGTACTCACACTAACAATGTCCTCTGTGTGAAATTTAATTTCAATTCTTCAGAAAGTGCTGCATTCCATCCTTTGCTGTCATACAGCAACGCCTGAAGGATGCTGGTATTTGAAAGATGGGCTTCTGTTCCAAAGGCAAGTTTGGAGGCATTAAGATGCTTCACAGTTTCACAAAGGCAAGCTAGTTCACTCTCCTCCTGTTAAACTCTGGGCCCAATATGTTGTCTATCCTCATTATCTGTCCCAAGTATACATGCAAATGGACAAGTGGTAGTTTGTTCGTGCAAATGCATGTCATTATCTGGGCAACAGCCTTCATCCATATGGTCTTTCCTGATACAATCAACGTCATCCTCAAGCGGCATCTGGAAGACCACCCACCCACAATGCACCCCTCTTCAACTTGGACTCTGTGCTGGACTGCCTTTATCACTGTAGTGAATGCCTATGGTGGCTGAGGTTTATGATCAGAGCTTATTTCTGTTATGACGTCATTTGAAGTAGCTTAAATGATTTTTACCATGTAGATGGGAGACATCTTGCTGGAAGAGGGCATTCAAGGCGGTGTTCTACTTAAATGCTTTTTCACAATCAACAAAACAAACACAGCAGGATCTTGTGTTCTTTACATCTTTCAGTTAAGTGTAAAATTGAAAAGATTTGACCCACTGTTGAATATCCCTTGTGAAAGCCTGCTTGCTCCATAGCAATACACCCACGAAGGATGCCCGTCAGTTGGTGTATAGATGACTCTAACAAAGATTTTGCATAGATGCAAAAGTAGGCATATGGTTACTGATGTTCTCTTGGTTGCTTTTTTTTTTGTATTAATAAGGTCCTAGATTTTTTCACACTTTTGATCTTTCCCTCCCTTCAGATACTTTGTGTATCACTCACTCAACAATCTCACAATTGTGTCACTTCCAGTACGAATCACCGCTTTTCTGCCACCGTTCTCTTTAGCACCAATGCTACCTTCCCCATAAGCACATTCAAGATCATGTTAAAGTCCCAGTGTGATGGCTCTTCACTGTCACTGATGATTAAGACAGTTTTCATAAATACTCTTTGCAGATCTTTTCCATCCTCTTCTGCTTGCTGTCCTTCCATTTTTGTCTTTAAATGCCCTTGGGATGACTTTGCTTAGCTGGTCCTCTATCTAGATTTCTAGCCTTTTTTTTTCTGCTTTATGAGATAAAATTGTTCACAATCACCTATTATCCTTCATAAAGATTTTACAAAGGTGTTTAAAATGCCTTTGGCCACCATTTCTCTCTGCTTGGCAAGCAAGTCAAAGGTTCTTCTGGTCTTGTTATGGCAATTGATTTATATTGTTCAAATTTCTGGATAAAGTGATTGCATCTTGTATCCATGTCATTTCTGTTGTTCATTTTCCAACTTTCATTATCAACTGGTTGTTTGAATAGTTCGGAATAAAGTTATTTCAGTGGTATGCTGTGTCATTTTCTCATTATTCTTCCATCTTTTCAGTAATTATGATCTTTATTCTGACCAGTTTGGTGGTCTTAATTATACACAGAAAACTGAATGAGGAATACCTTCCTCATCAATAGCAAGTCTTTTCTCGTCTGTTAAAATATAATCAATTTCATTTTTGTGATTTTGTTTGGTGCTTGCCACGCCCAGAGACTATAAATTCTTTTCTCAAAGAGAATATTCATAATATGAAGATGTGAAGGCTCTGACTGGCCTCAAGGGCTTGGCCTCTTTCAATCCTTTTTTTCTGAACCATGCTTTCCAACCTATTTTCCACCATCCTTGCCTTTTCTCAGTTTTGCAATGAAGTGTCATTGAGTATCAGAGTATACCTTGATTCAGAATTTCTATACCTCTTCATTCTCTGCAACTGACGCTCATGTTTAAGCTGTTATTTTCATGGTTTTGAGAATATATTTCTTGAGTACCGTGACAGAAGACATCAAACATCCATGAAGTAACGCTTCTTCTGGCCTTGGGGTACACAACAAAGCCAACTCCTTTCTTTGTCTCCGAGGAGTAGACCTGTGAGTCACCCTTCTGGTTAGCTGCAACTTCTTTGTGTCTTCTGGTTACATTTTATAGTGAAAATGTCAATACTGTTTATGATTCAGTTCCTCTAGCAGTATGCCAACTTATTGGTCACTGGAGAATAACCTCACATCCAAAGCAACCAGAATCAAATGAAAGTTTACAGACTATCTTTAAAACTATGTGATGCTTAGCACTCTCGGCCCCTTTCCCGTTACTCTACTAACACCGAAGAGACAGAAGGCGGCTGCACAGAGGCGAAGGTCATTTTGTGTTTCTTTATTGGGACCAAGTGATGAGTCAACACCAGGTGACGAGTCTACTGGTGATAAACCCAGAATAACTGGTCAGAACTCAGAGTAACCTTCATGCTTCCGAGAAGGGCTTTGTGCAGGCCCCTATCAATATAAAGTTTTTTTTTTTAAACCTAGCATCACCTTACATACAGTCCATCTTAAGTAAGGGACTCTCTTTGCAGGAAGCAGGGAACCCACAACTAGATACTTTCTAGGGCTCTGGTTCTCTCCCTAGCCCAACTCTGGCTCTCAACCACGGTTTAAAAGAGGAAACCACAAATGTGGCGATCCTGTCCCCATCCTACCTGGCAGTGCTGATGCCAGTCTTCCATAGTGTCCCTCCACTCAGAGATCTCCTGTTGCACAGCATCCAGCTCAGCCTGGAGGAAGTGCCACATGGTAGCCACATTGCAGCCATTCATCCAGTTGTGATTAATGGAGATGGTATCATCCTGAAAGAGTGATGGGTTAAAATGAGCATCCCTGAATGGCCAGCAGAGGTTACCAAAGGGTGACATTTTGAGAGAATGAACAGATGCCAATTTAGTCACCAGATGACAGACCTCAGAGGAGGTATTCTCAAGGCTCGTTCCCGTCAAGGTGAGGAAAAGAGGCCAAGGACAGTGGTGCATGCTTGTAGCTCCTACCACTGGGGAGGCTGAGGCGGGTCCAGTGGGGGAGTTATGAGCTGAAATGGGGGAAGCCAGACTGGATATCTACATTAAGTTTGGGCCAAGATAAAGGACAAGCAAGCTGCTTAAGGAGGGGCAGGACCAGTCCAGGTCAGAAAATGAGAGCACATTAAAGCTTCGATCAACATTGGGACTAGGCCCCTGGCTGTCTGCCCTATTTCCAGCTTGGTTGAGATAGAGGTAGAAAGGGCTGGAGGCCCAATCTGTCCTCTGATTAGCCTTTTACAAGTGGCTATGAAAATGTAAAGACTCCTGAGAGAGGTGCACATCAGCTGACAACCTGGTGGGGAACCAGGACTAGAGGCAGAATTTGAACCCGGGGCTTCCTAGGTTCAATAGCCCAGTGCTATTGGATGTGTGCCACTGGACCCAAAGCTGCCTCTGTGCTTTTTGCCCACTGCCACCGGGGCCAGGAAGAACCAGTGCAAGCCTTGTTTCCACAGAAGAGGCCTTCCTGCCACCGAGCCTTGCTTCCCTTCTCCACGATAAGCAGCCCCAGCCTCTTTAACTAACCCTCACGCGGCACAACCCAGGGGCCTTTTGCTGTCCTGTTGCCTGGCTTCTAAGCATGCTTGCTCTAACATGGCCCTGGAAAGAAATGCAGCACTGTAAAGTTAAACACATACTGAGGTGGTGTAACCAGGGCAGGGCACAGCAGGATCGCCACTTCCTTCCTTCTGTTTGGGGCAGTGGGCAGAGTGCTAGGGGTGGAATCAGGAAGACTCCTCTTCTTGAGTTCAAATCTGGCGTCAGACACTTAACTAGCTGTGTGCCCCTGGGCAAGCCACTTCACCCTGTTTGCCTCAGATTCCTCATCTGTAAAATGACCTGGAGAAGGAAATGGCAAACCGCTCCAGTATTGCTGCCAAGAAAAGCCCAAAAGGGAAGAGCCGGACAAAACTGAAAAGTGACTGAACCACCACCACCTTCTAGACATCATACTACTTAAAGCAGTCTCAGAGAACTCAGTGCTGCTGTGGTGGCTAGGTCACACTGCTGACTCATATCGAGCTTGCAATCCACTAAGTACCCTCCCCTCACACACAACCATAAAACAAACAAACAAAAACCAGCTGCTACACAGATACTGAATCTGAAGCCGACTTTTTGAACTCAAGGGTAAGGCATTTATTCCTATGAAAACTTCACCTTATCAGTGCTTTGTTGAAATCTAGGTCCACTACAGCATTCCGCCTGAGCTCTGTAACCTCTTCTTCCTTTTCCAGATGTTCAGTCACCAGCCATTGGCTAACATTTTAGGATTTTGGCAGAAACTGAGGTACGTTCACCAGCCTACGGTTGCAGATTCCACTTTCTTTCTCTCTCTCTTTTTAAACAGATACCACATTAGTCCTTTTCTAGGATGTTCCAAAGATTGCTGATGGAGTTTATGCTATCACACCTATCCAGCACCTTAAGATGCACTTTGTTTGGCTCTGGTGACCTAGAATTCAAGGCCTCTTTTATTATAATTTCCTACCTTAGTTTTCATTTCCACTGAGTCATTTTTATTTTATCTTTTCTAAAGCTTTCCTTAGTACAGAAAACAGAAGCAAATTAAGTCAAGTAGTTCTGTGTTTTTTGTTACACAGCCCTCTCTCTTCCTCATCCTTTTTTTTCCCTGCAATACAGATTTTTTAAATCCTTTTTTGTTGTTCTTAGCTTTCCTAACCAGTCTCAGCTCACTCCAAGCTATACCGGACTCTTGCAGGCCTGTGCCATGGTTTTGGATTTTTTACCCCATTTGCCTTTGCATCAATCTTCTGAAGACATGACTATTAAAAAAAACCAAACAAACCAAAAAAACCCCCCAAAACCTAAGTTGCTCTATGAATTTGCTGTTCATTCACATTGCTCTCTTTAAGTTACTATTTCTTTCCCTTATTGGAACTATTCTCTTTGTGATTTAAGAATTTCATTCTTGAAAACTTCCCATCCCTCCTGCATTGACTTCCCCTACAGAATTTTAGTAGAAGCCACATTTGCTTAGACACTTCTATTTAAGAACTGTCTCTTTTTACTGTGAAGTGAAGGGAAGAGGCACGTAGCTCAGCATCCTTGTGGTTGCTCTTGTTTTCTATAAACTGTACTCTCCGTTGCTCAGGAAGATGTTGTCCAGCTGCTAAGGCTAGCCCAAGTTCATGCCCTGGCTTCAATCTGGTTTTATGACCTGATGCCTCAAGCTAGACATTATGGGAAAGTCTGGACCAGGGGTGGGGAACCTGAAGCCTTGAGGCCACATGTGGCCTTCTTGGTCCTCAAATGCAGCTCTTTGACTGAAGTTTGGAGTCACTCAAAGGGCTGCACTTGGGGACCTAAAGCACTACATGTGGTCTTGAGGCTGCAGGTTCCCCAGCCCTGGTCTGGACTGAACTGATATCCTGACACTTAATTATATAAATCTTTTTCTTTCTGTTTGCTAATGTATTTAAGATGTTTTGATTCACTGAATGGAAACTCAATGGAAATTCATAAAGAAGTTTACCCCAGTTACTTTTAATTGCTTAATAAAGCTCTGAGAAAATCTTACCTGTTAACATAAATAAGTGATTTTATTCCACAAAAGATACTACTTGCCCTTCCTCTGCACCCTTTAAAATCTGGTCTTCCCCAAAACAGGGTCCATGTCAGATCATGCCTGGTTTTCCTTTCCTTATCTGTCATGAACTCTAAGATGGAAAGGTCACTGTTTGCTGCCTCCCGCCTGTGCTACCAAAGTTTCTTCTATTTCACTCAGGAAGTTCCTCCTTGTCGATGAGAATCACATCCAGAGTAGTGCTTTTTCCATATTCTGAAGCATAAAATTATCATTGAGCAATCTAATAAATCATTAGTAGTTCTGCTTTTGGCTGACAACTCCAGCAGATGTCTGGATATCTTACGGTCTCCTATCTCTACTATATAACCATGCTTTGCTATGTCTATATATGTTTCTACGTCTGATCTCATCTAGTTCTTTCTTCTGTCCAGGTGGTCAATAGTGTACTGTCATGACAATATTGCCCGTTGAAATTCACCCAAATGTTCTCTACCAGGCTCCTTTCCTTGAGTCCTGGATTTCCTCATGCTACAATATCTTCATATGTGATGCTTCTCAGTCCCTACTTAAAACTTTTTTTTTTTAATAAAACATACCATTCTGGATCTACTATCAAGTCTCAGTGATATCTATGAGGTCATATTTGCCTCTTCATATCAGGATGTCTCATTCACCACCACCATCACCCTGGCTTTTTTTAACCTTTGTGCATTTGAATATAGGCATCCTTTGACTTTTCTCTCCTATAAATTTCTTGGCTTCTCTAGTGCTATTCTACCTAAACTGTGGTATGTCTCACTGGTATTTAACTTGGTAGACATCCATAGCCAAACACTTTCCCCCTCCCCACCTTTCCTTTTCAGTTGAAAGCCCTATGAGGCAAACACACTCTTACCAGCCCTTTTCAGGCATGATCCTGTACCTGAATATCGGACACTGCTTCATTCTTTTCAAGTATATCTTATGTCCTCAACATAATTGTGAGCTTGCGGGGCAAGTACTATGCCTTCTGTTTCTTTGTTTCTCTGTTGTCTAGTACTGGGCTAGGCACCAGTAAGCACTGAAATGTTTCTTTAGACCCAGGGCAAGTCAGTCTCTCCAGGCCTTAGTTCCTCATCTGCAAAATGAAGGGGTTGAGGTCACTGATGTCCAAGGTCTCTTCCTCCTCTAAATCTTGTGTTCCATGATTTTATGAAATGTTTATTTAAAATCAAACACGTAAATGGTAAAAAATAAAATATTATTAAAAAAGATTAAAAAATAAATTCAAACACATGGGAGATTACATGCAAGGTATTTTGCACATAGAACAGCCAGCATTTATAGTGTTTTGAGGTTCAAAAAGTATTTCCATATATTACCTTCTCATCTGATCCTCACAGTAAGCCTCTGAAGCAGGCAGGTATGACAGGCATTGTTACTGTCATGCCAAGGGTAGATCTGAACCCAGGTCCCATATGTCTCTGAGTTAAATGAACAAAACCCAATTGTTCTCCTGGCCTAAACTCAACTCAATGAACATCTATTAAACACTACTATGTGGGGGTCCTTGGGCTCAGCGCCAAAGATTCAAAGATGAAAAAGGACAGAGCCTACCTTTAAGGAGTTTGGAATAATAGTAACTCAAATTTCTATAGCATTTAAAGTTTCACAAAGGTCACATTTGGTTCCTTCCAAAACCCTATAAAGTAGGCAGTGCAAGTATGATTATCCCTATTTTTGCAGGTGAGTAAAATGAGATTCATAAGGGTTAAGTAACTTGCCCACAGTCACACAGCTAGTAAATACTGGAACTAGGATCCCATATAAGTAATAAAACATACACATATAATCATAACAGCTAACATCTATATAGTGCTTACAATGTGCCATGCACTAGGCTAAGCATTTGATCCTCACAACCACCCTGGGATGTAGGTGTTATTATTATCCCCATTTTAAAGGTGAGGAAACTGAGGCAAACAGAGGTGACAGAGTCACACAGCTAATTAAAGTCCAAGGTCGAATCTGAACTCAGATCTTCCCAGCTCCAGGTTCAGTTGCTAAGATACAGTGTCATAAGTGTAAAGGAGAAGTCCAAACAAGGTGTTAGGAGATATCTGTGGTGGAAGAGATCATTTTTACCATGAGGAAAGAGAATAAAAGGAAGCTTAACAGAGAAGGTTTTGTGGATCTTACCAGATTGTAAACCTGATGATGCCACCCGCTGGGAACAAAGATCATCTCTCCTGCTTCCTGGATGACTTCAATGGGTGGACAGCATTTGGGGTACTCTGGGTACACTTTAATGTCAAGGAGGGCAGAGGAAGTAACATCATAGGGCAGGTTCCCGTGATGATCCCGAAGGCTCTCTTCTTGCCCTGGGGGGTAGAGTAGCCATCTCTTCCTTCCACAGACATTGACCGACCAGCTATAGGAGCGGAAGACATCCGCGTGGAACGGGGTCCTGTGGAGTGAGTCAATAAGCTGCACAATGGATTTTAATTCAGTTAAAAAATCCCTGTGACACAAAACATGGAAAGTTTAGTCCCGTCTTTCATATCCATAAAACCTTATCCAATCTTCCCATCATATGTGTCAAGGTAATACTGATGATCCTTCAAAATCTGTGAACATTAGTAGGAGAAAAAGACCTAGATGGGAGTTGTGTCTCTAACACCAGCTGTGTGACCTGGAGCGAGTCACAAAACTTCTTTGATTTTCAGTTTCCTCACGTGTAAAATGGGGCTGATACACTGTCCACAGAGCAGGCTGTGAGAAAAGTACTTTGTAAACCTTAAAGCACTTTGTGACCTATTAATCAGCAGCCTGCCAAAAATGTAGACAATCTTTTCTATTTACTATGATCACTGTGACTCAAACAAGTCTTTCAGTCTTTATTTAGCTTCTGCTCCCTTCTTAGGTCAAGTGATAAAATTTATATTGAGGAAAAATAGGCAAGAATAAGAAAAGGATTATGGGGGCAAAAGGAAGAATTTGTATTGTTAGATCCCAAATTATGTTAAAAAGAGGTTATTATCAGATGCCAGATTTAAAAAAAAACCCCAGAAAAATCAATTAGTGGAGCAGCATAGCTAAGAACAGACCTACATATGTGGTCCTTAGATCCAAACTTGCAGCGCTCGACAGGCGGGTGAATCCCAAATCGAGCTTAGGAATGTTCTGAAGAGTAGCGGCCACTCTTCTCTGGACTCAGGAAAGGAAGAGATGCCGGGATTGCCTCTCACGGATGAGAAGCGTACATGATGGTCAAGCTTAGGTCTGAGGGGATTTCAGGACAGATTAATTAGCTAAATAAAATTCGGCCCACCTAGTCTGGGGTGGATTTTTTTCACATGCACTTACCTTGCAAGGTAATTCTGAATTATTTTTTGAATTTGCATATAATTGTAGATTCTGCTTTTCCTTTTCAATATCCTTCCAAAACACACTCTTATGGTTTTGAATGGGAATGAGGGGAGGAAAAAAAGAGAGAAGCAGATGCTAAGAAGGCGGGACCTGTGCTGCACAACGGTAGCAATGTCAGGAATAGAGGGAGGAGAGTACATAAATATATATTTCATATACTAGATCTTTGGACCTGGGAAACCACAATCGATGAAGTTAGAGGCCAGGAATCAGGGAATTTTAGTAAAGAGTACAAGATGACAGAGCTCTGGGTCTAAAGACAATGACCTTTGGACTGGCTATGAGACGGGAGGAGCTGTGGTCCCAAGTACCTGCAGATCAACGATTCCCAAGGACCAGGACCAGATCCTTCAGGGAGCAGGGATATAGGATGCTTAGGATCTAGGAAAAGTAGAAAGGCTAGAGAAGGCACACCAGAAAAGAGGGGAAATGGCCAATGACATGAACAGAGGCATCAAGGTAGGAAACCATAAGATATATTCAGAGGGCAGTCAGCCTGGACAAAGTAGAGGATTTGTATCAGGGAATGTTGGGAGGAAAGGAGAGAAAGGTAGGTTCCTAACATTACAGAGGACAGGAAAATGTTGACATAAAGAATAAGGAATTTATTTCATAGCTATGAGGAAGCCATTGAAACTTACTGATGAGGAAAGTGATGGTGAAAAGTAGTATTTTAGCAAAGATGTCTCCCTGGGATATTGAAGTGATCTCAGGTTATAAAGGCTATGCCAACAGAGCCCAGGCTCTAGCAGGTGCTGTCACACCGGGAAGGCATGCACTACAGTCCTGGAGTCACATTGTGTCTGCTTTCTGAGGACCAGCCTAGTAAGAAACCAAGAGGCTTATCACCACTAAGTTATTAACTGTGGCCATGGCAACCCATGAGCCTGGCAGCAGTGTGCAGAATAGACTGGAGGGAGCAGAGCCTGAAGCACCCTATAGAACTGAAGACACCCCACACACCCCACCACCACCAAGAGTCCAAAACACAGCTTTACCATGATCCTTTTGGTCCCATGTAAACAAAACGATAATCATCCACTGCCAGTTCATCCCAGTACTCATTCAGCCAATCAGATGAGAAATACACAGGTGTGGTGTATACGTGTTGATCTGGGAAACTCCTTAAAAAAGAAGAGATAGGGTGAGAGAAAACATTCCAGGTCGCCCCATGCAGTTCTATAGGCTCTAGTGCCCATCTTCTTTGCTTGGATAAATTTTCCTAAATGCAGGAGCTGTCCTCGACACCCCCCCCCCATGCCTCAACAGCATCTCTCACACATCCACTAATATAGCCGCCATCACCTCTCACTAGAGTACTGTGATGGGCTCCACATTGGCCCCCTGCCTCCAGGCTCCCCTTTCTCCAAAGACACCTCCTCTTGGCTGCCCAAGTGAGATTCCTAAAACACAGACCATGTCTGACCACAACACCCCCTGGCACTGAAAGCCCTTCACAACCCGACTCCAATCTACTTTTGCAGATTCTTGTTACACACGCCTCCCCTTCACACATGCTGGTCTAACCAGAGTGGCCGTGCTGCTTCCCACACATGCCATGCCCTCTCCAACCCCCATGGTCCCCTGGGTCCTGGAACAGGCTCCTTCCTCACTTCCACTTCTTAGAAACCCTAGCTCCCTTCAAGGTTCAGCTCAAGCAGCGCCTCCTGCGTGGATGCCCCAGGGGCTAGTGCATCCTCTGCCTCCAAATTACTTTGCACGCATCTTATTTCTCCAACAGAATATCAGCTCTCTGAAGGCAGGGGCAATTTCATTTCTGTCCTTGTACAAGGACAGAGAACTCTCTGTCCCTTTGTCTTCTGTCCTGATAATCAAAGGGGGAAGCACGATCAGGGCTCCTGAACTCTACTTCTAGAGAATCTCCTCATCTAATCTAGAACCCTTAAAAGAAAAGTAGCTGCTGCCCCTTGGGGACCTGTGATTTAACTCAGACGAATAAACTCCCCCTACCCATGCAGATCAGCACCTTCTCTACAAATTACAGCTTTAAGAGATTTGTCTGGAGCACCAAGAGGCTAAGTTGCCCAGGATTACACAGTCAGTATGTGTTAGGACTTGAACCCTTGTGATTTTGAGGTTGTCTCTAGCACCTATACCATGTTGCTTTCTTTGCACACAGCCACTGCTTAATAAATGCTTGTTGATTGACAGTATAGATACCAATTGTAACTTTCTGTTAGCAAGAACCAGTTGACTTGGGCATGGGTTGGAATCCTACAATACAAGTTTATTCATCGAGGGCAGTATGATAGAGTGGAAAGAACACTGAATACTCAGAAAACCTAGATTCTAGTCTCAGCTTTGGAATGAGCTATGTAAAGCTGGAGAAATGCCTCAGTTTCCTTATCTGCAAAATGAGACAGAGTTGGACTATATGGCCTTTAATGCCTCTCTCTCACACAGACGGTTTTTTTTTTTAATTTTGGTGAGGCCATTGGGGTTAAGTGACTTGCCCAGGATCACACAGCTAATAAGTGTCAAATATCTGAGGCTGGATTTGAACTCAGGTCCTCCTGACTCCAAGGCTAGAGCTCTATCCACTGTGCCACTAGCTGCCCCTTCACACGGACATTTTGTAATTCTGAATCAAGACTGTATTTTGTACCAAGCTCATTATTTCTAAAGAACACTTTGTAAAAAAAAAAAAAGAGAGAGACAGAGAGAAAGAATCACCTGCTGTAGACCAGCACGTGACAAGAATCTGGGCAAGTCAACATAGACAGATAGACAGACCCTCAAAAGAAGAGAGCCTACTGAAAGACAGTGTGAGGGGCAGCTGGGAAGTGGCAGTGGGGCAAGGAGTATGCCCAATCGCTCATTTCCTCCTTTTCACTCCCTTTCAATCTTTACTGGCCTGGTAAAGGCGGATGACTTAGTAAGTGATTTGAATATAACTGTATATACAGCACTTGTATAGGTATTATAATTCAACATGTCTTCTGCTATAAATATGCTTGGTAGACAAGGTTAAAATGATCACCCAGACCTTTTCTCTACTTTTTAACATTACTGTGGAAAATCACTATTTCTGTTAACATTCTCTTGCTCAAAAACCCTAATGGCTCCCCATTGCAAAAAGAGTAATTGTACCATTTCTGTAGCTTGCAATTGGAGGCCAACACCACCTGGTAAGTACAACACCTGGTCTTAATCCACCTCTCTCACCCTCTGCTTTGGCTAGTCTAATGTACTCAAACCGAGCATACCCATCACCATCTCTTTGTTCAGAGTCTGATGTATCTGGAGTATTTCTTTTAGTATATTAATTGTGTGTGTGTGTGTGTGTGTATACACACGTATATATACATATATATGTATATATACACACACATAATTAATTTGTTCATCAAACATCGACTAAGCATGATTTATATGCACAGCACTAAAGCAAGCACTATAAGGCACAGAGACGATTAAGCTATGACAGGTCAGTCTAGTAGGGAGAGCTGAACACAAACAATATTACAAGAAGAAGGCAAAGTGTTAGGAGGCAGATAGAGTGCTCTGGGCGTGATCAGGTAAGGCCACTGGCATCAGGGAAGGTTTCACAGAACTGGCATCTGAACTGAGCTTTAAAAGATTTTGACAAATGGAACTCACGAATTCTTATTGGACCACTTAAGTCCCTGCTGAAAACTCTCTCCTCTGAACTTCTATTGCACATGATATTTTTTTTTATTTTAAACCTATTTATTTTTGAGCATTTCTTTTTTAAAAAATTTGAGTTTCAAATTCTCTCCCTCTCCTGACCCTCCCCCACCCACTGAGAAGGCAAGAAATACAGTCCCCAGACTGTTTAGATTGGCACTTAGCACACGCTGTCTCAGAGTAACTTTTAGTTATCTTGTTACACTCACATAGTTCTTCCAGGACAACTCCAAGCTGTTTCAATAGTTTAGGGTATAATTCATCCGGGTCATTTGGGACAGTCAGGTGTTTTCTCTTATTATCACTTCCCTTCATCTTGGGCTTCAATGAATCATAAAACATCTGAGCAAGAAGGAACTTAGCTAGTCAATGCCCTCAACTTTAGGTCCACATGAATAAATCTCTCTCATCATTCCCTCGACTTTGGAGATAAATTTATCAATACACAAACTGAGACTTAATCAGGTGTTCTGATTTTAGCTAAATATGATGTGAGAATTCCTCTGTGGACAATATCAACGATAGGGATAAGGAAGGAGATGATTCTCATTTTAATTCAAATGTTTACCAGTTCACTGGCAGACTTCCTTCAGAGACTAGGGGCACACTCTGAGAGTATATGGCCATAGCATGAGGCCTCCCCCTAATCTCCCCTCCAGGCTGAGGTCAGGTGCCATTTCATGAGAAACACCTTCCTTTAGTTATTACTACTCTCTCTCTCTCCTCAAATTACCTTGTCTTTATTAAATTCTACTCATGCCTTTTGCTTTCCCATCACAGCTGATTTCTGGTGCTGAAATAATGCTTGGTGAACTGGATTTATCCATTTTCAGAAAACTGACAAAGGTCAAGTCCATACTTGGTGATCTAGCCTTTTACCTACACAGATGCCAGTCCTTGAGGTAGAGACATCCCTTGGGAGAAGAGTAGTTGCCCTGGATGTAGTCTTTCCAGTAGCTTATGTAATCCCTCAGTGGGATCTGCTCTTTTGGATTAGAGTTGTATTCCTGGACATTGCAGTTGGCGACAGGAACTACTGCATCCCCTGAAACAAACAGAGATCTTTCTCACCAGCTTGCTGGAGGAGAGCCCTTGCTGAGAAAAACTTGGCATCTTAGCTGCTCCTACCTCCTCAGCCCCGCCCATCCTCCCCCAGAATGCCCTTGCCCCTCTTCCACCAAACACCGTCCTCTTCTGTCTTCCTACTAGGACACAGGCAGTTACGCAGAGTCCAGGACAGAGCATGTAAGGAAGATCCATATTCAAATCCTGCCTCAGGCAGTGACTAGCTGTGTGACTCTGGGCCAGTCACGTAACACCTGTCTGTCTCAAGTTTCCTCAACAGTGAAATTGGGATAATTACAGCACTTACTTCCCAGGGTTGATGAGTGAATAAAATGAGAAAATATTTGTAAAGCCTGTCGGACAGCGTCTGGCATGCAGTAGATACTCAATAAATACTTGTTTCCTCTCTACTGAAGGCTGTTCAAGAACTTCCCCTGTGACCCTATCCAAAAGGAATAAATCCACGACCCTCTGGACACTCGGGACTTTGGAACCTCCTTGCTGGAGGAGCACTTTAATTACTACATTAACACATGGTCCCTGTACTGAAAGAGCCTAGCCCTAGGATCCACTTAGGGAGAAAAGCCAAACAAATGTAAACCAATATATTACCTTTTATTTATATTAGTCACTCAGGATCTTAGGAGTACACAGCTAGGAACTACACCAAGTCTGAGACAAAAAGAAGCACAGTTGGATTTCGACAGGCTATGGGGAGGACTTTTTTTTTTTTAAATCAGATTTGTGATTTCACTGGTATATGGAACTCAAGGAACTATTCCATAAAGGCCTAGTCTGAGAGTTGCCTGGGGCTCCTAGGGATTAAGTGACTTACCCAGGGTCACTTAGGCAATGTGGGAAGAGTGGAAGAGAGGAATGGTGGCAGGTAAATGAGTCTAGTGTGGGAAGGTGTAACACTAGCCCCAGGAGATCAAATCCAGAGATATGAATCCCACTAAGTTACCTTAGATAAATCACTTTGAACTTTGGTTTCCTCATCTATGAGATGAATATACTACTTGCTAGGCCTACCTTATCCTCAACATAGTGAGGCTTAAGAGGAATAATGGATGTGAAACCACGTAAAGTGCTATAAAAACAAGCTATATTGATCTCATTTTACGCTCCTTCGATGGAATGACTCCCTACCTATGTTCAGCATTGAGTTTTTTATTTTTGACTTTTAAGGTTTTATTTTTTATACATATTTTAGGTTTATTTTTTAGTTACAAGCTTTCAACACTCTTATGTTTTATTTCACATTTATTTTATTCCTCCTGTTTAGCCATCTGCTTGTGTCCTTTCCTCAAAAATCATCCTGTAAAGTCTCTGATGGTAAAGACTAGATCACGGGTAGGGGAACCTGTGGCCCTCTAGGTCCTCAAGTATGGCCCTTGACGGAATCCAAACTTCATGGAACAAATCCCCTTAACAAAAGGATTTGTTGGGGCAGCTAGGTAGAGCAGTGGATAGAGCTCCAGCCTTGGAGTCAGGAGGACCTAAGTTCAAAACCAGCCTTTGACAATTGACATTAGTTGTGTATCCCTGGGCAAGTCACTTAACCCTGATTGCCTCAGTACAAAAAAAAAAAAAAGGATTTGTTCTGTAAAACTTGGACTCAGTCAAAAGGCTGCACCCAAGGACCTAGAAGGCCAAACATGGCCTCGAGGTTGAAGTTTCCCCACCCCTGCTCTAGATCACTTATAATTCCTCAGAGTACACCCAGACCCTGCTTTAAGAAAACTAAGAAACACACAAATCAGATCTTGACCATACCATTAAAAAGTAGTTAGTAAGTTAAAGCCACTGAGCTGCTATTATAGACTGGCTGCATTTCCTGAGATTGCAGAGCTGATTGTCTCAAGAAAGTGGAAAGGCCCCTAGACTTGGCAGTCAGGGGACCTACGTTCTAATCCTAGCCCTGTCATGTACTACCTTGAGACCTTGGGCAAGTCACAATCTCTACAGGCACTCCCTTTCAGCTCTAAATCTATGGTCCAGACACCAGAAAGCAGCCCTATGAGCCTCTTTTTACCGAAGGGGCTCCCCCTGGGTCTCTGGCTTCCTTTGTGTTGTGTGTCCTTAGGGAAGTCTTGTCTACACTCCCAGATCTTGTGTCCAGGTCACAAGACCCTGACAGCAGGGACTTGTTAACTGATTGTTGAAGGTGTTTTCCTTTAAGGACAATGACACCCATCAGCGTTTGCCCCTTACACTGAACCGCTTCTGGCTGAAATGCTTACCAAAATTCCAAAGAAGGTGATCAAAGTTAGGTTTCCCATCCTGGGTCACCCAGTACTTCCTGCTTCCCCAGCCCTTGGTGAAGGCAGAAGAGAAAACACAGGGGACATTTGGGAGCAGGTAGCCTTTGAAAAAGTCCAAGTAAGTGAAAGATTCTGCCTTGATATAGTCCACACTGGCATGGGGTTGGCAAAACCTCTCATAGGCCAGCGGTGGTCTCTGATGTCTGTCAAAAAACTTGCTCGCATATACATAGGTTTCCCAATCCATTTCGACCTAGACACCACCTGGGCACACCAGGTGTGAGGCTAGTTCCTGCTTGACCAAGAAGAGGCCATTCTAGCCTTCATTTCTCTACCAGGCTCAACACTCTGGGGAAATTGTTTTCAGTCAGATTTCTGGACCCTTCTGGCTAAGGGGAGGCTTGAAATGCTTTAAATGGTGCATAAGTATTCCCACAAACAAAGGATGTTTCCAAAGCATAAGCAGGAAGGACGGGAAAGCAGGAGGCTCTTGCTGGGGACACAAGGCAGGTCGTCATGAGGAACTCGCTGCAATGACCTCGGCGGAGGAACCTAGGAGAGGAGGAGGAGGAGGGGGGACAGAGGAAACAAGTCAACAGCGTCTCGGAACTTCAGCCTTGGGGGTACGGAGCTTGTTCATACAGAGGTGATTGCGTGTTGTCTCTCCCTCCATCCCCCACCCCCACAGGCCGAGAGCAGGGCCTGTCTCGTACAGTTCTTTGTATCCCCAGCGCTTCGCCCGGTGCCTGGCACACACTAGGCGATTAATAAGTGTTTACTATCTGACATCACTCGGTCCAAACGCGTCATCACAAAACAAACAAACAAAAAACGACCAAAGGCCCAGAGAGGGAGTGAGACTCGCTAGAGGTTTCACAGCAAGTGGTGGGCAAGGCTGGGATTCGAACCGGGGACTCGGAACTCCAGGCCCTAGCTCTTGCTCTACACATGCCTGCTTCTACTTACAAAAATTTAAAAAGTTTCCTCCAGACGCGGCGGTTCTGATTGCAGCGCCGATACCTTCCAAATGAGCCCCGCGACAGCGGAGGGATGACACAGGATGATCACCAAGCAGCCCGTGCTGCGGTCAGGCTTCCCGCGCCTGCGCAAGACCGCCTTCTGACTTCACCCCTCCGACTCAGCCACTTCCGGTCTGGGCTAGTACGGGGCGGGAGAGGAAGGAAGCAACCTAGGAACTTTGAAGCCTGGGCGTGTGACGTAAAATCCAGCGCGACGGCGAAGGGCAAGGGTACTGCTGCTTTCGCGCTCCAGGCGCTCGGACTCGGCCGCGTGCGCACGCGCGCTGCGCTCTGACTCCGCCCCCTGCCGGCGGTGGCGTGCTCGGGACCGGAAGCGCGCCTGGCGACGACAACAACAACTGGCATCCTCCCGGCTTGTTTGCCGACGATTCGTCACCCTAAGCAACCCTGGACCGTATTTAATCCGCACCCCTTACAGTCCGCGCAGACTGCGAGACGTTTGGTGGCACCCCCTTGCTTCGGACGTCTCTTCCTTCTGCCTCCCATCCAACCTTCGGTAGGTACGGGGTTCCCTGGCCTCGCTCCCACGCCCCCCCCCGCCTTGCTATGGTGATGGAACATTTCCACCCCCCCGTCCTCTGCAGTGGGGGGAGATGTGGGGTGACGGGACAGCCCCACAACTGCCGAACTTGGAGGGTCCTTACAGAGACATCCCTACCCCCTTTCTGTGCACGTTGGGAAACTGAGGTTCAGAAAGGGGACTGGGACTTGCCCACTGTCACCCAGCGAATGCTAGTGATGGGGGGAGTGAGGGAAAGAAAGGAGGCGAAAGAAAGAGCACCCACCACCTGGTCCACCATTCCTGCTACTCTAGGCACCCCCTGCCCTTCCATCTACCCTTTTCCGCCTTTCATTCCCTTCTTCCTTTAAACCTAGAGAGAGGAGCACCCGTATTGAGGAATTGGAAGGGGAAAGAGAGAAAGGAATTGGGGGAGGGGGTTCCTGGTAGAAGTGACGGAGGGGAGACCTTGGCAGGTATTTGGACAGTTTAAGTGTGAAGGGAAGGGAAGGGAGGGAAGACTTGGAGCCAGGAGATAGGACAGGTATTGGACGATATGGGAGGTGGTAGCGGATTATAGTGAGGAAGGAGGCATGAGGGGTGAGGGTAAATTAGGAGGCGGATTCTAGATCGAGAGTAGGGGAGAGGGGTTGAGGTAGGAGATAAAGTGGGAAAGAACTTGGGGGGGAGTGGAGACGTCATGTTGAGACTGTGGAAGGTAGATTTATGTAGGGTCCCATCCCATATAGCAACGTTTTTCCTGCCATGTTGTACTGTGATCTAGTGAGGGATTCTTTGTGCTGAGACTGATGGAACTTAATAACTGTAGATTATGTCAGATTAGTGAGGCAATGGGGGGGGGGGGGAAGCACCTGGCCTTAAGGCCTGGCATGTAGCAGGTGAGAGCTTTTTTTCCCCCCTTTTTCTGTGTAAAGGCTAATGTGATTCTGGGTAGGTGAAGCCTAGAGAGATTTACCCAGGTTACACAAGCAGGTGTGGAGCATAATGCCTGGGCTCCCAGAACTCCAAGGAAACCTGGTATCTAGGTGAACAGAGAGGTTTTCATTAAGGAAACATTTCTCTTTTCAGTACTTAGCAGCACAGTGCCTATGGCATAGTAGGTGCTTAATAGATGTTTATTGATTGATTATTTTCTTTTTTTTCCCCCTTAGGCAATTGAGGTTAAGTGACCTGCCCAGGGTCACACAGCTAGTAAAGGTCAAGTGTTTGGTCTGAGGCCAGATTTAAACTGAGGTCCTCCTGACTTCCAGGCCGGTACTCTATCCACTGGGCCACCTAGCTGCCCCAACTGATTGTTTCCTAAAAGGTAGTTGGTCCATAGTCCAGCCACTAACCTAGAGAAAGGTGAGATTACCAGTTTTTCTTGGAAACTATATTAGACTTCATAGGATCATTGATTTACTACTGAGAGGGACTTCAGAAGTCACAGAATCCAGCCCCCTTAAAGGTCATCTCCTCTACTCCTAAAAAGAAAATTTATTTACTTGTTTTCTTTTGTTATAAATTTAATAAAGTAATATGAATATTTCAATTAAGGAAAAAGAACAAAAGATTATAACACCATCAAATTCTGTACATAGTTTTATTTTTTAAAAGCATATTTTAAAATAACTTAGTAACAATTGCCCTATTTGTATCCCTTCCCTCCTCTAGTTTTTTTTTAATAATACTACCCTTTTATATTATATTTAGATCATATATCAATTTGGAACTTATTGTGATATAGAAGATATTGGTTTAAGTCTAATTTCTGTGGGATTGTTTTCCAGTTTTCCGTGTAGTTTGGTTGAATTGTCTTTAACCCAATTATCGATTGTCCTTGGGTTTATTGTTTGAATACTTCTGAATCTTGTGTGCTAAATCTGTTCCATTGGTCAACTGGTTTTTTTTTAGCCAGTGCCAAACAGTTTTGGTAATTCCTGCTTTATAGTATAGTTTGAGATCTGATACTACTAGGCTTCCTTCATTCTCACTTTTTTTTATTGTCTCCCTTCAGATACTTGAAGTCTTGTTCCATTAGATCAATTTTGTTATTATTTTTCTAGTTCTATAGAGTAACCTTTTAGTAGTTTGGTATGATTCTAAATCTGTACATAAATTTAGGTTGTATCATCATTTTAATTATTTTGTCACAGTACAACTATCAACAATTAATATCTCCAATTGTTTTTCTTCCTTTATTTCTGTAAACAGTAATTTAGTTGTATTCATGTAAGTCTTGAACATATCTTGGTAGGTTAACTCCCAGATATTTTGGTTGGAATTTTCTCCTGTTGGATTTTATGGAGAGGCTAATGATTTTCATGGGTTTTATTTTATGTCCTGATACTACCTGAAGTTGCTGAAGTAAAATTTGTATTTAGTTAAATTTCATGGGTTTTCAAAGTAAACTATCCTAGCACCTAAAAATAGCAAGTTTTATTTCGTTGTGCCTATGCTTGTTTCCCCATTTTCTTTATCTTGTTTTATTGTAATATTTAGCATTTCTAGCAAATAATATTAGTGACATTGATCATCTTTGTTTTAGCCCTAATCTTATTGGGAAAACTTGTGTTTCTCCATTATCCCCCTTTTTTTTAATAGATGGAGAAATGAGGCTCAGAGAGGTAAGAATACTCGCCAGAAGTCACACAGGTAGTAAGTTTTTAGAGGCCAGATTTGAACCTGGATCCTTTGGCTCCAACTTTACTCTTTCTGATGCACTCCTGCAGAAACAGTGCCAAGAAATGGAAGGTTGACACCAGGATAAGGTCTAAAATGAGACCTATTTAAGGAAATGTGTGGGAGGAATGTAAGCAGGAAGGGAAGGAGCAGGAGGTGCAGGTAATGGGGGAAAAACAAAACCCAATAAACAGCAGCTAGTTGCAAAACATTTCAGCCATTGTTCTATTGAAAAATTAAAACCTGGTGGAAGAATTCTAATAAGGACACCTCCATTTTCCTCCACATTCTATCAGTAAATAATTATAAAGTCTAGGTCAGTGTGGTGTTTTGTCATGTTTTGTTTGTAAATTATTTGGAATAATATGTTCTTGGGCTGAAGCTGTCACCTAGTGCTTTACTGTGGTGACCCTGGGTCTTGAAAACAACTGCAGAGGATTTGTAAGTATAAGTCCTGGTGGCTCTGTCGAGCTGGAGAGGCTTTGAGTACAAGCTTGGAAACTGGTTATCTGTTGTGAGAGGACCACTGTAGCCAAGTTCATATCGCCAGAAGGTGACTACTAGGTGATGAGTTAAAAAAAACTCATGAGGACAGTCTGAAACCATGGAGGGGTTGCTGTTTGCATGTCTTGAGGGAGTTAACACACATTTGCAGAATAACAAATTCCTTCAGTGTGGAAGAATGTAGCATATTGCTTGCTCTGTGGCTGTTTTAGAAATTCTTAAATAAGAAGACTGATTTCTTACTATTTTTGACTTACCCTGGAGGTATGAGTGTGATGGAACTGATACATATGGACATCATATAAATTACACTGCTTTACAGATAAAACAGCACATTGTCCCTTTTCCTCATTAAAAGGATTTCCTATAAATTAGAACCAGCTGTAGAGTGCTGGATGCTGCACAGAGTATTTGGCACATGATCCTTCCCTAGTTGCCTTAGTCTTCTTTCTCTTATGTAACCTACCTCCAAATTCTTTACTTCTTTTGCTGGGTCACTGGATAGGACCTTGAAATCCCTCTCCAGTTTGAAGCAAGTAGGAAATAGTCCTTTCACTGTCTTTTAATTCCATGGCTCTATTTTGTTAACTCTCCCATTAGGTGGCACAGTGTGAGGGGAAGAGCCCTGAACTAGGAGTTTGGAGCCACTGACGGAATGTAGCGGTGCAGAAAGCTATTTTATGTTTTTCGTTTCAATTTGCTCACTTGTGAAGGAAAGAGGTTCGACTGAGATCTCTCAAAGTCCCTTTCTGACAATACAATTCTTCAATTCCCAGATCTCTCTGAACTTAGTTATCCTTGGAAAATTTGTGTTGCACTTGATACCAGTGAAGATCTAAGGCAGGCCTTAGGAAAGCATCCTCTACATTTTTTTGTGGGCTGTCTGAAATCCTTTGGTGTGCCTGCCTGCCATAGGTTGTGCAGGCCTGACCTAAGGGCTAAGTTCTAGGAAGTATATAGTGAGTTAGATAGTTGGGGCAACAGGCAAAAAAAAAATTCTTGTTTTTCATTAAGATTTTCAAGTAACTTTTAAAAAAAGCTATTTTCTTATGAGAGATCAGTGAAACTTGTTTTCCTTACATTTGCCTCATTCACTTCATCTTTTTAGGCATTGGTTTGGTTTGGCCCTTTGAGACTTTTGGAGGAAAGGTGATATATACATTTTGGTGGTAGTATTATTACAGATAGCCTATTGCTTTCCTTCTTTGGTGTTTTGTATTTTTCAAGTGCTTATTCTTTCTTCTCTTATATCCTAAAAAATTGAGAAATATTTCAGTGACTCTTTTCTCCTCATGCCTCTCTTGTCTTGTCTTGTCTTGTCTCTTTTGCCTGATACTACAGTCTCTAAAACCAAGCATAGGCAGAATAGATAAGTATTTTCTGGATAAGAAGATTTAGGTGCATCTGACCAATAGGGATCACTTTTCCTCATAAGAGTGACTTAATTGACTTGTCTCTTCTCTCTTCTGTGCCTTCCTTGCACAAAGTGATTGCTCAGTAAATGGGGATAGTGGTGATTGTCGATGACCATTTTCCAACCATACTCAGTGAAAAAAAAATTAATCCGCAAATATTTCTGAAATAAAGAAATTTCTCTAAATATCTTACTCTGATGTTTATTATATCTTGAAGCTAATCTTGCTTGAAGGCTGTGCTAGTGGAGGGTAAGCTCACATATGTTCTACCAAACTGGAAAAACTTGGGGTACAGTCCCAGTAATAGACTGTCTTCTATCCAAGAACCAACGTAGCTAAATGAGGAGAGCCTACCAGGGAAAGAATTTGCTTTAAATGGACACCCATGAAACAAATAAAAATGTAGTCCTCAGGGCTGTGTGGGGTGGTGAAAAAGGAGACAAAGGCCACTAAGAATCACTGTTTTTAGAATATCCATAAACAGTGGTTTGTAGAGACTCTAAAAATGAGATTTTTGTCTGATGACCAAGGCATTAACAAGCTCGAGTCACATCAATATTGATATTATTGCTATAGACAAAACCAGAAGACGAGTTGCAGCTCAGTATCTAACTTGCCCCTTTCCCCCATCTTGTAAGTTTATTTGTGTCATTTTTTCTGTAAAAGACAAAGAGGCTGTCTTACAGATGCAGTTGACTCAGGGGCTCAATTTTTAGACAGCATTGCCGTTGTTGGGGCTTTCTGGTAACCTTAGGCCCAATTGGTACCTTGAGACTTAAAAGAAATCAAGTCTAAGCCCATCACACTTGGGCAGTGTCCCAAGGCCCAGAGAGTCCCTATGCACTGCCTTGCTCCCCTGAGGACTGGTTCTTTTGGTGAGACAGAGCTAAAGAAGACCCATCATCAGCTCTTGAGGAGCCTTTGGAGAAAGAGACCACTGTGAAAATGATTGCTGCACAGACCTCACATAGTTCTTTGTTCTCATCTCTCCTTTGTACTTACAACGCATTGTTTTGCATCACATTTTTTGTAAATGTGCCATTTCTCCTTTCTAGGCCTTAAGTTTAAATTGGAGGCAGTCACACAGTGGAAAGAACCGAGAGCATAGGCAGAGAGGAAGGAGGTCGGAGTCTGGCTCCGTCATTTATGTCACGTGGGACTTCAGACAAGTCACTTAACCTCTCTGGGCCTCTGAAATGAGGCGGTTGAACTCAGTGTCCCCTAAGGGTCCCTTCCAGCTCCAGGTCTATATTCTTAGGAAACCAGGGCCCACGTGTTAACTAATGCTTGTAGCCCTCCAATGTGTGTTGTGGCCATCCAGTGAATGTTTATGGAATTGAATTGAATCTGTCTTGGAATCCTTATAATACTTGTATTGCACGTCACAGTAGTATGCCTTGTATTAACTACTGTCTTGTAGTATTTTCTGGTTGATTTATGGGTGTAAATTGTTGTAATCAAACTAGAGCCTTGGCTCTTTAAGATCGCACACAATTTGTTTAGTCATTCCCCAAATGATGGGCATGTACTTTGATTCCAATTTTTGACTTTCACAAGAAATGTTGTTGCAAATATTTCTGCGTATGGTGGGGACTTTCTTATCAAAGGGGGAATATGGCTTGTTAACTTGTTTTTTCCTATTCCTATTTAAAGATAAAAAGTTGAATCCTTTTGTGTCTAGTAGGCCCAGCAAGCTGATGAACAGAGACATCTGCATCCACACATGGCCATGTTCTTATTATTTGGAACCTGAGAAACGATGGATTCCTGGCAAGCTTTCATTGACTTCTGTTTTGCTAAAATTTTTGGCTGATAAGAATGGAGAACTACTGGTCAGCTTCCTCCTTTCAAGCATCAGTGAGATTAAAAAAGAATCCTCTCACTTCATCTTCAGCTCTATTACTATTCTAGAGAAGGACCACATTAAGCACTGGTTCAGTTCCTTCCAGCCCAGCCGGAATGTGGTCTTCAACATCATTGAGCATTTCTGGAGGGAGTTGCTGTTGTCTCACCCAGGAGCCCAGGCACCTTCTCCCCAGATGACCAAGGGTAAAGAACTGACAGGCCTAATGGCCTGTTCCCAGAGACGGTTAGAAGATACGGCAAAAGTCCTTCACCATCAGGGTGAGCAATTTGATAACATCATGAAAGGACTGGACAAGATTGAATCAGATATGGATGTAGCCGACAGGTATGGTACTTGACTTCTGAACTAACCTACTAGATCTTACTCTCACGCAAAAGGATGATCGCCTAATCTTTTCCTCATACTTAAATTTCTTGCCCTGAGAATTTTTATTTCAGTATTTAAATTCCTAGTAGGCAGAAAGAAGTTCTATTACTTCTTGTGTCTATGGTGCATGTAAAGCATACTTAATAGAATTGACCTACCACAAATGGGCATGTAAATTATGACTTTAAGTTGAGAAGGTTGATCCTATGCAGAATTAGGTGATAGAATGCTGCTGTACTGAGATGCTATTTGTTGTATAGTTCATAGTCTTGTGGCTGTGTTCTACCAGGAGTGGGGAACCTGTGGTCTTGAGACCATGTGTAGCCCTGTAGGTCCTCAAGTGCAGCCCAGTGACTGACTCTAAACTTCACAGAACAAATCCCCTTAATAAAAGGATTTGTTCTGTAAAACTTGGACTTTGGTCAAAAGGCCGCACCTAAGGATCTAGAAAGCCACACGTGGCTTCAAGGCCACAGGTTCCCCACCCCTGAAGCAGTACATTTGCTAACATTGTGGTTTCACAGTGGCAAAACTTAATGCCAAGAAAGTTCATACTTAGTTTGGCAAGCATTTCCAGTGGCAACCAGTGATTAGGTGCTTTTGCTTTAATATTATAGTTCTTTCCTTTCTTATGTCTACATATACTTTAATTCCAGAATGTTTAATTTAATTTTAAATTATATAATTGATATAATTTATTGTATAAGTGACTTATTAATTAATATAATCTGATTCTAGAATTTTTCCTATAATATTAAAATAAGTATTGACACTCAACTTGGGTGTTTTGTCATATCCATTCTCAGGTTTGTAGTTCTTAGTCTTTGCTGTTTATCTTTGGGAACAGTGTTTGATCTGTTGGAATTACTAGGATGGCATCACCATTGATTTGTTGATAAACAGCATTCTCTGAACAGTAGCATCCATCTGTATCTCATGAGTTAAAGTGTCATCCTTTTCCAGAAGGTTTTTCACCAAGGAAAGTAGCATTACCATTATCTCCCTGGCAAGGACTTTTGTTAGCACAGAAGACAAGGAGTTCCTACCTGTTCTACACAGTCAGTACAGTGGTGATGAGCAATAGTCACCTGTATTGTAGAAGTGGTTCCTGCAATTTCTAAACCGCCCATCTTGCAGGTGAGGAATTTGCATGGCCAGCTGTGGATGGGCAGCATCTTGATCTCTAGCAAGCAACTTCATATTCTCTGTTCTGGGATTAGTTGTAAAGAAAGGCAAAATGATATTACCCCTACCATGGTACATTTTTCCTTCTCCACTCCTTTGTCCATCTGCGTTTTTACCCTTTTCAGTCTTTAGATTTAGGTAGCATTCCTGCCAGGGATCCTCATGCCTTCTAATTGCAACAGAGAGGGTATTTCTGCAAAAGAAAAGAACAGATTTGCCTTCTAAAGTCATATGGTCTTTTACAGCCAGATTTTTAAAACATTGTTGGAGACTGATTTTAAATGACCCATGTTTTGTTTGCAATTGAAAGCAGTTCTTCCTAAAGAATTGGATCAGTATGTTTCAGTGAAACTCGGTTTCAGACCTCTGCCTGGGTACCCTATCTGCCCCATACCAAAAGGTCTCCTGGTAAAATTGCTGGGCCAACAAGGTCCTATCTGAGAAGCCAGTGCAAACATCTACCAGTAGGCAATGGAGTACTGTGATGGGCCTCTTTTATTATTTATTATTGAATAGACTGTATATGTGTATGTCCCTCTCTATGTGTATGTGTGTGTATGTGTACACACATACATATATGTATACATATACACATACACATACAGATATATGTTTACGTGTTTATATTTGTATGTATGTCTCTGTTAAGACCCTACTGTTTGTAAGACATTCGGCTAGATACTGGCACTATAAAGACAAATGAAAATAGACCCTGCCTTCAAACAGCTGACATTCTACTGGGGGGATACAACACTCACTCAGTGGAGCAGATAAGTATAGACAGTTTTTCAAACTAATTTCATGAGGGGCAGTGCTAATAACTGATGGGGTAGAGTGTATTAGGGAAGTTCTTTTGCTCAGTAAGATGTTGCATGTAGTTGTAGTCTGAAGGAAGTTTGGGATTCTGTAAGGTCTCCGGAGGTTAGAAGGAAGTATTTTTCAGGTGTGGAAGACTACCTGTGCAGAGGCAGGAGAGAGAATGAAATGTCAGGGGAACGTGTAGCAGGCTAGTTTAGCCAGAATACAGTGTATGAATAGGAGGAATATTACATAAGACTGGAAACATGAGTGGGAACAAGATTGTGAAGTACTTCAAAATGCCAGTGGGAGGTTGGATTCTATCCTAAAAGCAGTAGAGAGCCATTGAAAGCTTTTAAGGCAATAATGACCTGTATCTGTGTTTTAGGGATATCAGTGTGGCAGATCTGTACTAGATGGATTGGAGAAGACAAAAGCAGGAAGGTCAAGTAGGAGGGCTGTTAGAATAATCCAGGAGAGAGATGGTAAAGACAAGGGTAAAGATTGTGTGCATGGAGAAAAGGAGGTGGATAAGAGATGTTTTAGAGGTAAAATGACAAGATATTTCAGCTCACTAGGTAAGGGGAGACAAAGGGAGAGGGAAGGCTCAAAAGTGGTTGGTAGGTCGTAAGCCTCAGTTACTAGGATGGTGGCTGGTGCTCTCAAAAGAAATAGGGATTATAGGAGGGATGGATTGGGGGCCGGGCTGGGGAGTGATGGAGTAGAAGGGCTTCTCTTGTTTGAGTTCAGTTTGAGATGCCAAGGGGATCTCAGAGTGGAGATGTGTAGCAGGTGGTTGACAATGTAGGACTAGAATTCAGGAGAGAGATTAGGGCTGGTCATACAGATTGGGAGTCATCTGCATAGAGGTGACAACTGAGTCCATGAAACTTGGTGAAATCAATAAGGCAGAGAGATTGGACATGTTTGTAAGAAACAGGAGGAAGCAGTGTAGTGCCCAAGGAGAAACAGAAGGTGAGAGGAAGAAAGGAAATGATATTGGGGGCAGGCTCCTAAAGGAGACTTCAGGATGTGGCATCTGAAGCATTAGTAGAGAGGTGAATCTTGACAAGGAATGGGCTCCCTTTCCATCAGACCAGAGCAAGGGATGACAGAATGTGGGATGATGTTGAAAGGGGTTGTTGGGGTATAGAGCAAGATAGACGTGGGGGAGGGGAGTGTCTACATGTAGTAAGAAGTGAGGCCATCTCCTGCGATGAGAGAGAGGGAAGAAGGGGTGGTATGTGGAGGTTTGGAATGGTTACTGAGGGGGAATGGTATGATAATCAGGGAAAAATACAAGGGTTGCCGTGCAGTTGAAATGAGATAACATTCTTGTAGTGAACCTAGTAGGAACGGTGTGTGACTTTGTTCAGAAACATTCGTTAGTGTGTGAGGAGAGAAGAGGGGAGGATGAATGGTGGGATGGTCCCAAATCATCTTTATGATGAAAGAAAAGATGGAGTGAGTATGACAGTTTAAGAAGGGAAGTCTTGATGCCTTCTGCTCAGTGTTTTTATTTCAGTGTCATCTTTGAATTTGATTTTTAGAACAAACTCTGAGGCAGGGCAGGTAGTATTTGTACTTGTTTTATGTGTGAAGAAACTGGGGCTTATAGAGCCTCACACCAAGGTTAAGTGACTTGCCGAAGGTCACAGTGCTATGCAGTCTTGAATTTATCTCTTGATAGAACTGTGACCATGGTCTTGCTTTCATTCTGTTAGTTCACTGCTTATTGTTTGTTTTTTTTTTTAAAGAAATATCTCCTAATGGGCCTCAGTTTCCTCTAAATGAAGGCATTAGACTAGTTCCTCTCTAAAGACCCTTCTCAGTCTGACATTTTGTTCTAAGTCACAGTTTATTTTAATTGGTAGAATTTTCTGTGTTCATTGTATGTTTGACGTCCACTAGAAGTTCATCTCGATACAGTGTTTACCAATTACTTTCTATACTGAAGTCCATGAAGTAGGTGTTTCATATATGATATATCCTTTTCACAGTTAAGGAAAACAGAGGCTCAGGGGGAAGGGATTTTCTAATCATCCACAGCCAATAAATGTTGGGCTAAATTGGGAATACTCCTGACTCTGAAGACTTTTGCTCTTTCTGTTTTATACCACACTACCTCTAGTATTTGGCCAGAAAAAACCCCTCACTGTATTTTCTTGCACATTTGATTTCTTTCAGTTTCTTCTAAGTCAGAATTGCCCGTAAGAACACATTGTTGAAATATTTGGCTATGTTTTATTCAACATTTGTTTTGTTGTTGTTTTTCTCTTTAGGTTACTCACAGAACTTGAATCTCCTTCTTGGTGGCCCTTTAGTACCAAACTCTGGAAAAGCCCATCTGAAACAAAACCCAAGGAAAGTACCCTAGTATCCACTTCTGAGGCATTTGGAAAATCAGGGGTGATAATAAAAATCCCAGCAATTATTTCACAAAGCGCCGAGTTGCACGCTAAACCAGGAAGATTTACTGTCTTGGTTTCTGGGTTGGAAATCAGTGACTCTAATTCGCAACTTTTGCATAGATTTGAAAGGGAAGATGTAGATGACATTAAAGTTCACACCCCTTATGAAATCAGTATACGCCAGAGATTTATTGGTAAGCCAGACACAGCCTATCGACTATTGTCGGCAAAGATGCCAGAGGTTATCCAAATTTTAGAAGTGCAATTCAGCAAGAAAATCGAGTTTTTAGACGATGCGATGATGTTCCAAAGCACAAGAGACTCACCACCAGCAGAGAAGGGCAGTGCCATCTGGCGTGCAGGTGAGTGATGACGTTGGTGTGGTCACAACCACACACCCCCACCCACACACCCCCTTTCCATCACTTGCTACGGCTAAAAGCTTGTTTATTAGTCTTTTACAACCCAGGTCCTCTTTGTACCACAGTGTGCTTTTCAGAATATGTTTATATGCCATGTCTTCTAGGCCCTGAGATCTATGAAGGAATTTCACACTTTTTGAGGTTTTATTGTGTGTTGAGAACAATTTAAGGGTTTTTTTTTATTGTTTTAAAATAAATTTTTATTGATGGCTTTTGTTTTTTTTTTTTACACACAATGATTTTCTCCCATCTCTCTACCTCTCCTTTTCCAGAAAGCCATTCCATATATAACAAATAATATTTTTATCTTTTTTTTTTTTTTTGGTGAGGCAGTCAGGGTTAAGTGAATTGCCCAGAGTCATTAAGTGTCAAGTGTCCTCCTGACTCCAGGGCCAGTGCTGCATCCATTATGCCACCTAGCTGCCCCCTGAATAGTATTTTTAAAAACAAAACAGAGAGGAAAAAGCCAGGTTAGCTGATCCATACATTGAAGTCTGAAAATATGCATCATATACCATACTACACAATCTAAGTCTGGAAATACTTCAGCAGCTTCGGGTGACTCAGAAGGAAAGTAGTTGATTATGTACTCATATAAAAGTTTTTGTTTTTCTTTATGTTATACATAATAGGTTTACGTATAGGTTTAATTGAATTTTAGAACAAGCTCTGAGGCAAGGCAGGTAGCATTTGTACCTTTTTAGATTTAATTCCAGAACCAAAATTTTATTAAAATCTTATCCTGAATTAGCATAACAGTCTCATATTTATAAAGTTTTGTGTTTGATTTGTTGAGATTTCTTCCAGGTTATAAAGTTTTTGGTTATCATGTTGCTGTCTATTTCATTTTGCAGTTTACCTGATCTTTCTTTTACATGCTCTGCCACTTGGTGCAAATATATTTAATAATTTTTTCTTTATCTTTGTTTCCTATAAGTATAATGTAGTTTCTGATTTCTCTCTCTTGATATTAGTTTTTGTTATAAGTCATAATTGTAACTCCTGCATTTCTCAGATTCCCTTGAAGCATATTAGATTTTGTTTCATCTCTTACTTTTCATTTTGTTTATGCTTATATTTTTAAAAAGTGTTTCTTTTATGCAGCAAATGTTGGGGCTTTGTTTATCCATTCCTATTTTCTTTCTTGCATTCATTCATATCTAGGTTATTATAGTAAAGTTTGTGATTTCTTCCACTAAATATGCATATATTTGTGCATGTGTGCGTATACTGATATGTGAGGTATATGGATGTGTGTGTGTATATATATATATGCTGATATGCAAACACATATATGTAAGCCATATATATGTGTATATATTCTCTTTTTTGTTTTTTGTTTTTGTTTTTTAGGCAGTTGGGGTTAAGTGACTTGTCCAGGGTCACACAGCTAGTAAGTGTCAAGTGTTTGGTCTGAGGTCAGATTTGAACTCAAGTCCTCCTGACTTCAGGGCTGGTGCTCTATCCACTTCACTTCTTATTTTTTAAAGCAGTAGTTAGTCCCTGTGCTTTGTTTTGCTTTTAGTAATATGATCAAGGTCTATCTTCTCCCTTAATTTGTCTTCTCACTTCTTAACCTGTCCAATCCTAAATTCTAAAATTTACTTTTATCTTTATTCTTATAGTCTCTCTTTTTTTTTATTTTAATTTTTGTTTGGTGAGGCATTTGGGGTTAAGTGAGTTGCCCACAGTCACACAGCTAGTAAGTTTTATGTGTCTGAGGCCGGATTTGAACTTAGGTCCTCCTGACTCCAGGGCCACTGCTCTATCCACTCACTGCGCCCCCTTAAGCTGCCCCATCTTATAGTCTCTTTCTCTACCTCCTCTACCCTCCTCTGCCACCTCAGATAAAAAGTGCCTGCTCCTCCTTTTTCTTCTTGCCATCCATCATTCTATTTCAGTGATATTCATTGGTCTGGCTTATGCTTCCTCCCTCTCCAACAAGTTTTGTTTTCATGACACCTCATTTATTTCCCTTCCCCTTCCAGCACACTCTAAGATCTCTTCCCAACAGTGTTAAGTCTTGATGGAGACCAGTGAGAGGTTTTCTGTAGCCTGGGTGGGGGAGGTAGAAGAGGATAGTGGCAGTCCTGTCTTTTGCCATTTCCCCCTAGCTGTTTGTCCTTGATCTTTTTATCATGGCTTCCATCCTTTGAACCTACCTTCTCCAGACTTTTCTGAGATACCTGTTCCTCTTCCCTCTCCCTGCAGAGAGATTTATTCCAGAGATGCACAACCCTGTCTGGGAGAAGCTGATCTCCTGAAGGGTCTGTCCCTCTTTCCCCCCAGCAGTCCTCCGGTAGAGTAGGTAACAACGCCATCTCACCTCCTGTGTCTCTGATGTCATTGTATAAAGCTGTCTGTCTTTGTCAGTGTCTCCTGATTCTCTGTATTCCTCTGACCTTTTCTCCATGCTTCTTGCCCTCCGTCCTTTCTCATTTATAGACTTAGTGCTTTTGTGCCCTGTCTTTAGCACTTGCAGCTTGTTCCTTGTTCTCCCAGATAACCAGTATTGGACGAGAGCTAGCTGAGGCCCTTGATGCATTAGGGCGACTTGTTAGGTTTTGTAGGGAGATTCCCAAGGCACCACTGTAGTTGATTTTGTTCTCTGTCTTTTTAAGTCCCACTTTTCTGGACTCTGTCCTCCCACTAACTTTCATCAGTCTAGAGGCTGACCTTCAGGAGGATGCTGGTAGAAAGAAGTTGAGGGGAGTCTCCCTGGGACATTTAAAAAAAATTTTCCCCCAATTACATGTTAAAAAGAATTTTTAACATTAGTTTTTAAAAATTTTGTGTTCCAACGTGAGACAACTTAAGGATAACTCCAAGAAGCTTTCACAATCAAAGGTTTTTTGTTATTTTCATTTTTTGCTTTCTGATATTACTGATTTTGTTGCATTTTGGAGGTGCTTCTCATTTATTGAGGTGGTAGGACTATGTCCTAGATTATTGGCACAGCGCAAAATTCCTAGCTGGTCTTTAAAAATATGGTAGCAGTCTAATAGGTAAACAGAGAAAGAGGGCATTCTAACAGTAGAACAGCATGAGCCCTTGTAGAGAGATGAAAACGTGAAGGGTGTGTTCAGGGAGTCTGTGGCAGGGAATGATAAAGTTAGAAAGGTAGGTTGGCATCTGGCTGTGGATAGCCTTGAATTTCTGGCATTGACTTTGAGTTTTGCTTGGTAGACGATAGGGAGGGTCATGGATTTTTTGAGTGGTGTGACTTGCCTGTAGCTCTCTATAAGAAGATTAGTCTGGTAGCCATATCAGAAGTGTGTAAGAGCAAGAAAACCTGACTGTTATTCTGGTTGAGGGCCTGTGTTGCACTGGTGCTACTAGGAAGAGAGAGGAGGGATTGATGTCAGAGATGTGCAGAGGCAGAGATCACAGGACATGGTAGTCAAACATTTGGCTATGAGAGATTGGGAAGAGTCAAAGATTGTGCTTAAGCGTTCATATTTGAGGCACTGAATGAATGGTGGAGCTTGTTGCCAAAAATATCCGAAGGAGGATAGGAATCTCAGTTTTTGACATCTAGGTTACAGTATTGTGTAGGCAGTCTTGAGATCCAGGTCTAGAGTTTATGAGAGAGTCAGGAGCAGGTATCCTTGATGTCCCTAACTCCTTTCCTTAGGAGTACTACAGAGCTACCACTTCCTCTACCATTGTTTTTCTCTTAGTGTGGGGATAGAAGTAGCAACATAAGGAAAGAGGAGGAAGAGAAGTTGATAGTAGAAGTTTCAAGCAGTAAAAGATGTCAGCGAAATTTATTGGGTGCTCATCATATTAGTCTAAGGAAGGTAGTCTTTGGATATACACCTAAAATGAGTTATTTTTCTCACAGAAAATAATTAACAAACATTTGTTAAGCACTTGCTGTGTGCTGGGCACTGGTAATACAAGTATAAAGAATGAAACAGTTTAAACTCACAGGGCACATTCTAATTGGGAAAACAAGTTTGTGTATTAGTATGTACAGAATAAATATAAAGGAGAATAAATAACAGATATTCAAAAATAGTTTGGGAAGGAGAGGACCAGCATTTGAGAAGACCAGGAAGGGTTTCATGTGCAAGGTGGTGCTTGAGTTGGGGCCCAGAGGAAGACAGGTCAATTAGATGAATGTCACAATTTCTAATTAATGAAGTGATACATACACTTGTAGATAATGATGAGATCCAGTGAATAGAACCATCCCTCTCTATGTGTGGCCAAAGTGGAGTGAAGGAGTAGGATGTGGAATTTTAGGAGGCAAAGAACTGATAAGTTAGGGATTTAGAGAGAGCATCAGTGTGAATGAAGTCCCTTAGTACAAAAGCAGGAGTTGACAAGGAGAGAAGACAGTGATCCAGGTGCTGAATGCCTTGAGAAAGGAGGGAGACTGACTGGGGGGGGGGCTGCATACAAAACCCACTGTGACTTCATTTGGGTGAAGATTTGGATCGTGTGGCTATCAGAGGAGGAGAGGTTGCTGTGTGACAGAGAGGAGGGGAGAATCTGGAAATGGCTGAGGGAGTGGTGGGGTATAGGGAGTGATTGTTCTCTCCCCCACCTCAATCTGATGGTCCTGGCTGGTTGGGTCTGGGTTTTGATGTGTTTGCTACAGCTGTGCTTGCTCTGGGGTGGCTGAGTGAGGGACGTAATGATTCTAGGTTGCCCAGATTGTGAGGTGGGTGATCGGGGTTTAGGCTAGCATGTTACCTGCAAGTCTTTGTTAGGCACTGAGGATAAAGATCTGCTGCACACTAGCCTTGTCAGCAAGTTACTCATGATTGATTGGTCAGATAGCATAACTTCACTGTATCTGTAAGCTCGTTGAGCTGGGTAACCCCTCCAACAATTCTGATAGATTGGAACTTATCTTCATTTACCCAACATGTGCAGAATATCTCTCTGTAACAAAGTAAATAGCAACACAAGGCAGGGTGTGCTGACTGCAA